CCACTCCACTCGGCCGAGTGGGGTCAGAACCCGGCCGAGACGGGCACCAGCAGAAGCTGCCGAATTTCCTCGTGCCGAACTCCCTCCGGCTCCGATCATGATATGCCGGGAGGACTCCCGATGATGGTGAATGCCGGCTTTTGATTAGACGACGGAGATACGAAGGATTGTCTGCCTTGTCAAAGACAAATCCTTTGCAATATGGCGTCAAATGGACGGTGATTTCACGTATATGCCATGATGAAGGCAGATCTGGTATATACGGATGTAAGTGGTATATATATCAGCCAAATCATCAAGCAGTTTGTTTGTCACCATCAGTATCATCACCATTCAATCTCAGCAACATCAATAAGAACATCATAACCCATCACCAATACACCTCCTTCTTCTTAACCTCATACTATAAATCATAAATCCCAAATCATGGCCTCCCCATCAACCGGCGTCGCCATCATCGGCGCAGGCCTCTCCGGCCTCACCCTAGCCCTCGCCCTCCACCGCAAAAACATCCCCTGCATTCTCTACGAATCCCGCGAAGCTTCCCTCGACATCGGCGGCGCCATCATGCTCTCCCCCAACGCCCTCAAGATCCTCGACGCCCTAGGCGTCTACGCCAACATTGCCCCCCTAGGCTACCACTTTGAAGAGCTCTTCTTCCACTCCGACGACGACAAACCCGTCGACAACTTCGAGTTTGGCTCCCAGGCAAAGCACGCATACAAGGCGCTCCGCATCTACCGCTACGAGCTCATCAACGTCCTCGTCTCCATGGTCAGCGACGCCGGCATCCCCGTCCAGTACAACAAAAAGTTCTCCCACGTCACCTCCGAGTCCTCTTCCTCCGTAGCCTGGGCCTTTGCCGACGGATCCTCCGCCACCGCGAAGCTCCTCGTCGGCGCCGACGGCATCCACTCTCGCGTCCGCAAGCACCTGTACCCAGACCTCGTCCCCAAGTTCACCAACATGATTGGCGTCACGGCCGCCGTGCCCCGCGCGCAGCTCCAGGCCGGACCCGACTACCCCCTGCCGGTGACCATCATGAGCCCCAAGCACGGCGCCTTTGTCATTGCCCCACAGCGCGCCGACGGCTCGGAAGTCCTCATCGGGAAACAACGTCGTCTCCAGCAAGAGTACGACCGCGCCGGCTGGGACGAGCTGATGGAGAACAAGTCCTGGTGCGTCGATTTCCTGCGCGAAGGAAGCGCCGACTTCCCCCCCATTGTGGCTAATGCCGTGACCGACATCCCGCTCAAGGGGATCAACCTGTGGCCATTCTATCTCGTCCCCAAACTGGACACTTGGACCCAGAGCCGCGTCGTCATCCTCGGTGACGCAGCTCACGCAATCCCTCCCACCGCCGGCCAAGGCGTGAACCAGGCCTTTGAAGACGTCTACACCTTTGCCGGTGTCGTAGCCAGGGTACAGCAAATGAAAGAGTCCGAAGATGACCCACAAGATGCCGTGCGTATCGCCAAGGCGCTCAAGAACTGGCAGCTGGGACGACAGGCTCGTGTGGATAGGGTATTGGATCTGAACGATAAGCTGAACAAGAGACGTTTGCCGGATGCAGTCAAGGCTGGTAATTTTGAGCCTTTTGACCTGGATTGGCTGTATGGCGTGGATTTTGAGCAATTGATTGCCGAGTGGGCGAATTGATGGACTCCGAAGCTGTTGTGTCTATGGAGTTGAAGTTGATATTTCTTTGTTTCCTTAAGTAGCACCCAAATTGCAAGCGAGATCTGTCAGCGTCCTGGAGCCAGTGTTGTGTGATAAACCCATGCTTTTCGTGATGGATAGGCCATGATGATACAATCATCAGTCTCATAGCGACTGAAAATAAATCAGATTTGCACATTCTTAAATCAACAGGCACATACTGTAGAATCACACCTAAGGAGACTATAATCAGTTTAGCCTTGTATGATACCAACCCTGGAATGGCATCGATATCCTTGACTCCTATGGTCATATCACAATCCTGTTTGGCACGACGCAACGATACGCACCTTGTGTCACTTTGTGAGATTTTTGCATCACGTCATCATTTGAAGCATTATCTTTCTACACGTTCCCGGAGCAGGGTCACCAAGCGCCCAAGCCTCCCATTTTATAAACCCCATATTGAAAAAAAGAAATGACAAGAAAAGACAATCCACGCTTCTAGTATTAACTCTAGTCATCTACTCGACCAAATAGTTGTCCGCTGCGGACTTGACATCCTTTGAGAAAGTAACCTCCTCGTTTTCTTCAATCAGCGAAACAGAAGTGACCTAAGTGCAAATGTTAGCGATAAATGCATTCACTGGGTGGTCACAATCAGCAGCAAACTTACATCAACGTCCACAAATGGTGTTGTCTTGTTAAAACGAATAGTCATGGGGAAGAAGTCGTTTTCGTCATTGGATTCCGCTTCAAACTCAAACGATCCACTGGAGTTCTCATCATCGACCGAGCCAATGTTCCACTCCAGTGTATCTCCTGATACCTCGTAAGATGCGTCGAAGCTAGAGACAACAGGCTCGCTTCCTTGGTAAGGAATGATGACGCCGACGTCTCGCAGGGCATCGCCACCTGTCAGCTCATACTCGACCGTGATGTTGTACTTGTCGGAGTCCTTGTTAATCCAGACAGTGAACGTAATAGGACAAGCACTCGCGTCGTCAGCCTTTGGCGAGGCTCTCCATCGTAGGAGGCCTACGCCTTGGTTGACTGGGAATCCTCGAGCCGCATTGCTCATCTGCAGAACCTTGGAGCTGTTGAAGAGGTTGCGGTCCACGTTGGGATGAGGGCGGAACTGGGCACCATGAGAAGGAATGGCGTGCAGGCCGAGCTTAATCTTTGTTAGGCTGGGATCTGAAACTCGCAATGTCAGATCTCCGTTGATTGCAATAGAGTTGACTGCGCCTTCTCTTGAGAGCTTGGCGCTTATCGTCTCGGCAATTGTGACATGGATGGCATCACGGTCCAGCGTAGTTGAGATTCGCGATTCGGGCTCAGCGGCGGCAGTAGGTGTTGGCGTGATGAGAGGAGCGTCGTCGGCTCCAGCGCCAAGGTCTCCTCGAACCTTTTCGAAAATGTCGGTCGTCTTTGACTTCTTGCCCAGCTGCATTCCCTTCGCCTTGAGAGTAGATGGCCTAGCGAGCCGATTAGCACTATGGAGAGCAGGCAACAGGATTCAATATCACCCACTTGTTGAATGTCTTGTTCTTCTCAGCTTCGTATGAGTCGTATGCGCTGGCAGCTGGCTGGGAGGGAGGGGTATAGGTAGGATAGACGGGTGTTCGTGGGGCGGCAGGGCGGCCACTTCTGGCGGACTCCTTGCGCTGCATCTCCAGCTGCTTCGCCTTGCGTTTCCGCTCCTCGGTAGCCTCGAGCTCTTTGTTCTGTCTAGGTGTAAGCAATTCAGTTCGCCATGGAGACACAGCAATTGGGTCCCTACCCGTGCAATGATTTCCTGGATGCGCTCCTCATGACTCTCCATTTCCAAAAAGGTCCTGATCTGGCTGATGGTCAGGTTCTCTCGGTAGCCCAGTGTGACCAGTTCGTCGAATGCGCTGAGAAGCTCGTAGGCATTTCGGACAATCTCTCTCTCGTCTAGCGTCTTGCAGGTGCTGGAGACGACCTGGGCGAACAGGTGCAGGGAGTCGATGTCTTGCAGAATGTTGGACTGTCGGTTGGTGATGAGCACCATGTAGAGCTCGTCGAGAGGCTGGTAGACGAATCGGACATTGTCCTGCTCGACGATTGTGTGCTGAGTGCCGCTGTCTGCCAGCTTGGGGAACGACGCAAGGAGAGCCTCGATGCGGGATCTGGGCATCTCTCGAAACTGTCTCGAGAGGACAGCTTTCCCGCCTCGGGTGCAGATGGAGGCCGCAAGAACAACCTGGCCAGCCGTTAGTTGTCAATGAAATGAATTCGATTCTCAGGGCATTTTGGAGCTGTGCGCGCACCATTTTGGCAATGACTTGTTGTGCACTGAGAAGCAATCTGGGGGAGGCTTTGGTGGGATGTCCAGATGGTTCAATTGAGCCACGTCTAACTCAGGAGCTGGAGTTTAGTTGCTAACTCAGTGACAAGGCTACTGCTGGCTGCCAAAAGCGGCGTCACGTGCTACGCCTGTGGAGGGGCTTGAGAGACGAGGTATCGGGTACCAAAGCTGAATGAAGGGGAGGAGGGCTTCTGATGTTGCATATTGACTGTGGTGAGCTCCGTAAATACACTCCATTTACTTCACAAGGGTTGAAAAAAATTATTTCATAAAAGAGATCTCATATAATACATATCTTTTGATCCAATCATCACGCCATAGCTACTCATGAATTGCTTTGATGTGTTGTTTGCTGCTTCATTGAGCACCTCTCAAAGCACAAGCACCAGAGGTATAGAGTACAAAGAGCCACCAATTACCCCTGTCTCCCATTCACCTCAAGTTCCCAGTACTGGGCACTTAGTAGACTCGTATACCCGCTATTCCTCTTTTAGTCAGCTCTCTCACTTGTGGGCCAGCTTTCTCCAGTGATCCAGCAAAGCTGCCTTTGGAAAGTTTGTTTGTCGCATTCATTAGCCTCAGCCGCAACTTTCATCAGGCTGCACTGCATCTGAGCATCAGCCTCGACTACGATCCCTTTGTCTTGAACATCCTCTTATACGACGCGTTTTGCGTGTCGCCCGACCCTGTTTCTTCTTTTCTCTTCTCTTCTCTCGATATCAATGTGTCGCTCTCCTGTCGCCAGCCACCAACCTGAAGACACGATATCGTGAGTGGCGCAACAGCTATTTATCCAGCTCTCGACTCAACAAAGGATTGCCCTCGGTATCTCCAACCTTGATCTCCAGAGAGCGCTTCTTCCGCACTATTGTGTAGCTCAAGAAGTTCACGCATACCTGCAAATCCGTCAACCATCGAATTACGACCATCGCAGCATTGCCATACCTATCCGAAATTCACACCCTTGCATTAACGATATAGCAATCCAACACTCAGGCCGTCACACGCCATGGCTGAGATTGAGATGGATGTTGACTTGGCCCCGTCAATCAAATTTGACGAGCAGGCCGACGATGACCTCATCGACTACGACATCGATACGACCGAAGACCAGACTCACGACCAATGGCCATCTCACCAGGATGAGCAAAACTCAAGTGCGCCAGAGCATGTGCACCCAGGCGAAGATTATGTAGGTACCGAATCGAAAAATACCGAACTCGAACACGACGAAGAACGCTTCCAAGATACGGGAGCAGACCGCCCTCATGACGATGCGGTGTACAACCATGACGACATTGCCGAAGAATCCCACCAGCCGGCAGAAGTAGCCGCCGAACTACATGATGAAAATGTTGCTTTGGAAACGGAACAATCCAAAGATGTTGTCGTTGTTGAGTCCGAACAGGTAGTAGATGAGATTGATTACGAGGATGGCGATGAAACGGCGACAAATGAGCCAATCCATCATCTAAATGAGGAAGAGAATCCTGTGCACGACACCATCACTGTGGAAGACGTCGCCGATGCCGTTGTGGCAGAGCCCGCCGTACCTCAGCCACCAACAGAGCCTGCTGGTAATGCTGACGTGCCGGAGTCAGCAGCTAAAGATGATGAAGATGAAATAACGTGGGAGCATGAGGATGAACCAGAGGCTGCCAGTGGTGCTGCGGAGACCATTGTTTCCGAGACAGTCATTCCACCCACGAATGAAGGCTCATACGAGCACCCTGAAACCCAGAATAGTGATTCACACGACCAGGCGTGTGAGCAGCACACTAATGCAACGGGCTCTGATAACGAGGAGACAATGGTGGATGGCCCGGGAGAACAAGATTCTGTGGAATATCAGCAAGACGAATCGCTGTCACAGCCCGAGGAGCCAACCTCTGATGAACACGATTTCCCAGCCATCACTGTACAATATAAAGGGGACGAATTTCCATTCTTTTCACAAGATAAAACGCAAGGTTTCTTTTCTGACGTATCCGCCCTGGATCACTCAATGGACTCGGTGCTGGCTGGCTTTCGAGCAGAGCTAGAAAATGAAATCGCAGCACAAGATGAACTTGTCTTTCAAGTCGACGAACTCGGGCTTGAATTTACAGAGGTACGTTTCCATATATGGCTGTTCTTCAACGGAACTAAACTAACTGCTCTACAGACCACAGAACAAAAGTCACTCGCAGCCATCACACTACGACAAGTGTTGGAAGTGTTTGACTTGTTGGTGAAGAACCAAGATCCCGATAGTTCGCGAGTTCTATACACGTACCTCTTCACAAGGTCGAACGCTAGCAAACGATTTGACTTCTTGGCTGAAAGTGCGGCGGCTGGTAGGGGGCTCGATGAAGTGATTCATTTGTTTGAGTCTCCTTTCGGACATCATCATGCCGCCGTTGATGCCCATCACGGACATGAGCATGATGATGACCATGATGAGGCCAGCGAAACCAATGATGCCACAGAAACTCACGAGAGTGTTGAAGACGATGATGAGAATGATGAGAATGATGAGAATGATGCCAACGGCGGCAGTGAAGAATCTGAGGCGTCAGAAGAAGATGAGGAAGAGGAAGAGGAGGAAACCTCTGCCATCGAAGAACAGCCTGTCGACACTGCGGATCAGGATGAAGAGGAAGAAGAAGAGGAAGTAGAAGAGGAAGAGGAAGAAGAGGAAGAAGAGGACGATGACGATGAAGATTTCATGAGAGACACTGAAGACTTCATCGCAGAGGTTGAAGAGATTGCGAACCAGGAGGGCGACTACAGTGATGGCGGGGATGAGGAGTATAAAGATGAACAGCTTCAGGCAGTGGTTGTAGAGCCAGTGAATCATTCCGACAACACGCATGCGAATGCGGATGCAGAAGATGCACCAGATGCAACATACTCATATGGTAAGGCCACCAACATGAAGGCGACGTTTGTTTCCTTATGTACTAACAAGCCACTCACAGATGATGAAGATGACGATGCCGACGCCAACCCATTCATTCATCTGGAACTTCAGGAGACCATGGCAACCGATGGGGGCGAGATTCAGTACGAAGAAATTGTACATGTGGAAGGAGGCGATGGAACATCTCGCCAGGTTCCCATGCATCCGATGGACGAATATATTGAGTCCAACGAGCCCGACACTGGCACGACCAACACATTGGCCGATAATGCCGAAGCCATCTCTACCCTGGTAGACATTGGCGCGGTGCAAGACGAGGAAATTACCAACGAGGATCTCGCCTTTGATGACGATATGCCGGAGATCGACTGGAGAGATGGTCCAGACGCTGCCGATGCCAAAAACGACAACGACGTGCCTACACCCTCTGGCCTACCAAAACGGCGTCGAACCGAGGACGAGCAAGGCGCAGAAGACGAACAAGGTAAACCCACTCGATGCCCCTGATTACGACAGACGGAAGCTAATTGTTTGTAGACGTCAAGCGCCGCCGACCGTGATTGATCACAATCTATTAAGACTAACAACGACGATTCAAAACTCAATCTCCCCCAATACATCATGTCATGCAGCCACATCTGGATAATACCCAAACGGGCGAGATGGCCCATTTGATATAACGGAATACTAACCGCAGTCAACAGCATGACGTCTAACGATGTATATCCGATACCTATCTATGTGCCATCGGATAGACTGTCATACATTTCAACACTCTTGGACGAAGGCGAATTCCAGGTAGGGAACCAGCGGGTTTACTAACAATCAAGACATTGCGACTATGTAGCTGCAGACGACTTCGCTTTTGGGTCGCTTAATGGCCAATTCTTCCTGGCAGCCGTTTTTTTCTCGGCTATCTTTCTTTTGCCTCTTTGCTTTTTTTTCTTTTCTTTTCCCTTTTTCCTCTCCTTTTTTTAATCCCCAGTCTCTTTGTTTTCCAACCTGGAGTTGGAGGTTCTGATACCACATTCTCTAGATTCAAGAGCCAGATTAGTATTTGGCACGAGCCGCTGTGCTCGACTTGGATCACTGGAGAAAGGTTAGATATTCTACGGGATGGCTCTTGAGATGTGACACTGGAAGAAAAGGTATGCCAGGCGAAGGCAACATGGCGTTTTTGGACAAGATGGCCCCAGCCCCGATGTGTAAGGTGAAGTATGTCTGCACATAGATTTCGCTAGCTCTACGGACAGAGGTCTGTTGCACATGTCTTCAATGAACTTATCGAAATGAATGAATGCTGGACCTGTATTTGAGTGAGGGGTGTGATATATATGACTTGTGCAGTGAGTGAGTAGGTGGATGAGAATGCTCTCGTTAGCTTCCCGAGTCATGTTGGCATTTGGTGTCTATGCTCCTTTGACGCAAGTTTTATGAGGACTAATATCATTGCCAGCTTCCAATCAGATGGTTACGGGATTTTCCAGACCAACAAATCCGACGTGGTGTAGTGGCTAGCATACCGCGCTTTCATATTGAGAGTACCGCGGCGATCCGGGTTCGACTCCCGGCGCCGGAATCTTTTTTTGCCTGTTTTGCTTATTTTGCTTCTGATCTGCCGTTTCACTTTGTCTACTAGGTATGTTTATCTTTATACGGCTGTCCTTTAGATCCTCTACCAGTAACACACTTCATGACCATGTAGAAGCGTCGTGACAGGATCTCGGACAGCTAAAACCCGATCGCGTTGCTTTTTCCTGCCGTCCCAAGATCGGACGGAGCTTTACTAACGTCCGGGCTTGACGTGTTTTGCTTCTTGGATGCACCACATACTCGGGGAACGGGGACCAGGGGGGGTTCAATGTTTGCGCGTCCCAGGTCCACTTATCCAGGGGCTCTTGATTTTGTTTCCTCTGTTTTTGCACACACTTTGATCCCAGTTTGACCCTCTCGACCCCCTTGAACCCGGTTTGACCAGGGGGGCCGCCCTAAATGTGAAGCAGAGCGCAGGTCGATCACTTTGTCGGCACTGTGCAGCGTAAAAAAGCTTGGAAGCGGGCTGGGTCCACCGAGTACGTACGATTCAGGGTTGGTGAGGGATGAGATGAGGGAGGCAGCCGTTTTAGTGTGGAGATGGAGAAGAGAGAGAAATAGTCAATGACAGGCATGTTGTAATGGGTAATCATGGAGCTGTAATGAAGGAAAAGAGGATATAAAGCTGGTGACGACCCCCAGATGGCTCAGATGGTCCGTCAATTTCGTGATCCTAGAATTTCATATCATAAAGTAATAGCCAAGTGTCCTCGTGGGAATGAATACTGTAGATTTGTTGGGGGGGATTGCATTGAGGCGCAGCATGTTCGTGTCTAAGACGGCCGTCTACCGGTCTCGTGATAGAGTCGAATCACACGGCGGGTGATGGGCTTAAAGCAGCAGCGCTAGCAATGTTCACGAATACGGAGTACCTGGTATTAAATAGTGAAAGATAAGAGAAGATTAAAGAGAGAGAAAAAGAGGACCGTCACTAGTATTTCGAGGGATTGCAGTCTGTTCCTTGCTTTGTACCTATTAATTGATGACATAGTTCCATCTACGGCTAATGCTACCCTGTGACGAGCTGGCCAATGACGTCTTAGGGAATCGACTTGTAATGAATGCTATTGATCGCGTCCATCCCGGCAGAAATGCGTGATGAGATTGAACCCCATGCGCTGTTTAAGTGCTTTTGGGTGGCTCCGCCCATTGGAATTTTTTCTGTTTTTGTTTTTCGCGCCGCCTTCCATGTCTCGAACCACATCAGTTGGCATTGAGAATATGCTACACGAAGTGTATGGGGGAAGGGGGTTCAGGATTTTGTTTGTGCTTGATGCTTACTTGCATTTACCGCAAGTCAGTATATGCGAGTAATACCAGCAGTGATATTACGTTAGCACTATGAACAGAATATTGAGAGCCTAGAGGAAACACGAGGAGACCCGGCATCATCTTCTCCATCATCAGCTAGGCAACTTGCAGTTTTATTATGTTATCAATATTATGATACTATAGATGACGCGGAGGAAGCAATGTCAAGATCTCCAGCCTTGCCGAAATGAATAGCAGCTGATGCCCAGATGAAACAAACCAAACACGATAAAGGCTGAAGCTGCGTCTTGCTCTGCTGGTGCTTTGCATGGGGCCGGGAATTGGGATCAATTGCGACTGGGGGGTTGGGCAAAAGGGCTTCCCTCCATCTCCATCCCTTGATTGAATGCAGTCAATGTGCTTTGGTAAATTGGCTGCTTTCTTTGTACACTATACTTATGATAGCATGCAGCCTTGTGCCAAAACAGAGTATCGTCTACCAGCACAATGCAAGGGTTCCAATGTTCTTTTTATAGGGTCCTTGGTTTAGGTGCTGTAAGAAATCAGTGCAGTCACAAATGGCCGCTAGCCCCTCAGGTACCCGTCTGGTCCCTCATTCCCTCCAGCTTAGCGCTCAACTGTGCTTCCAGGGCCTTGCGCCTCTTGTCGTGGCCCGCTGATACCGATGCCCGCGCCCTGGACACGCACTGCCAGAGGCCCAGAGGCCCAGAAAGACGCTGGTGAGACACGCAACTGATTGATCCATTGAGGTCACTGATCTCATTCCCAGAGGTTCGCCTCCCCCCCTCCACTCCCCAAAAAGTGCCACCCACTATTACAACCGACGCCTAAACCGAGTCCCAACTTTCAATCCAATCCATTCGATCCCATCCAGCCACAAGCCACCACAAAATACATCCGCGATCGTTCCTTTTTTTCCCTTCTTCTCTCCTTCACTGTGCAAAATCCTCATCGCCAGGCCTCTTTCCTGCCCTCTCTCTTCCTCTTCCTCTTCCCTCTCCTTTCACGGCTCGGCGTTGCATCTGTGCTGCGTTTGCATCTTGCAATTTTCTTTTGCCTTGTAACGAATTGGACGACGAGCAACAGCATCTGGTGTGACTTGGGGAAACAGGCCACGGCACGACTGCTAGCACCTTTTGTCGCCCTCCCTTTCTCTCCCTTGCAGACAAAAAAAAGAACGAAAAAAATATCACGACGATCCAAACGACGACAGGAGCCTCGCTCTTTTTATTTCTTTGATGGGCCTGATCTGATCTGATCTCATCTGACGACGCTTCTCTTACTCTTACGCTCAGCATTTCGACCTTTCGGCTCCCCCGCCTTCGAGTCGCCGCGAATCCCCAACTGCAGCATCTTCTTTTTTTCCTCGTTCAATTTCTTTCGACACCACGCATTCGCTACTACGATCCCGCCCTTGCGCACGCACGCTCATTTTGTCCCATTCGCGACTCTTCCCTTTTTCCAGGGAGCGCTGAGGAAGACTCGATCGACACAACACACCTTTGCATTTGCATTTGCTCTGCCTCTGTCGCCGGTTTGCGCGCGCCAGAAACCACTCGCTCAGCATGATTGAAGACAAGTGCGTTTGCATCCAGAAGAGGCCTCTTTTTGGACCAACAGAACGTCGTCCCGCTGACCTTTTTGCCCTTGCTCTAGATATATCGGCCTGGCGTTGGCCATGTCATCAGCCTTGGCCATTGGTATGTCCAGTCCTTGCCCACCACCTCTCTCTGACTCCTTCACTTTTGCAGCGTGTTCATACTGACTCTTGGATCTCTTCAGGCACCAGTTTCGTCATCACCAAAAAGGTCAGACTCCTGCGGCGACCACGGCGGTTCTCGGCAACATGCGATGCTCAGCCGGCTCAACCGAAAACTGGAACCTGCTCTGCTGACGCTTTGCACAGGGATTATTACAAGCCGAAGAACGACACGGATTCGAAGGCGACGGATTTGTATATCTGAGAAGCCCCTTGTGGTGGGCTGGTATCGCAACCCGTGAGCATTTGACACCCATCCCCGGCGCTATTCACGCACGCGTGTTAACCTCTTCCTCCTCTTTCTAGTTGGTGTCGGAGAAATCTGCAACTTTGCCGCCTACGCATTCGCCCCGGCCATCCTCGTCACTCCTCTCGGTGCTCTCAGTGTCCTGATTGGCGCCGTCTTGGGATCATACTTTTTGGATGAAGAGCTCGGCACGTTGGGCAAGTTGGGCAGTGCCATTTGCCTCATCGGTGCCGTCGTCATTGTTCTGCACGCCCCTCCGGACGAGGACATCCAGACGATCGATCAGATTCTGCACTATGCCATCCAGCCAGGTACGAACGATGCCGATTCTCCCTTGCTCTTGCTTTTGTCTTTGGGACATTTTGAGCTCCCAGATGTTGTTGTCCAGAAAACTAATGATGACCAGGCTTCCTCTTGTACGCCTTTGCCGTCGTGGCCTTTGCAGTCTTTATGATTTACCGAATCGCACCCGTATACGGCAAACGCAACGCCCTCATCTACCTTTCCATTTGCTCGACCGTTGGCTCCATCTCCGTCATGTCCGTCAAGGCGTTTGGAATCGCCCTCAAGCTCACCTTTGCCGGTCACAACCAATTCACGCATCCTTCGACCTACGTCTTCATGATCCTCACGGCAGTTTGCATTCTGACCCAGATGAACTACTTCAACAAGGCATTGGCATCATTCCCGACCAACATGTGAGTTTTAGCTTGGTGGACACCAGCCTCGTCTGAATTCTTCTACTTTGTTAGTCGCCAATACTGATTGACGATTTCCCAGTGTGAACCCGCTCTACTACGTCACATTCACCACCGCGACTCTCTGCGCTTCCTTCATCCTCTTCAGCGGCTTCAACACCACCGATCCCGTCAACACGCTCTCGTTGCTCTGCGGCTTCCTCATTACCTTTACCGGCGTATACCTGTTGAATCTTTCTCGAGGAGACCCTCACGGCCAGAGGCTAGTTGCGTCACGCGGTGACTTTGACGCTGCTGGAACAGATATGATCTCTGGCTTCCAGACTCGCCGCAGCATGCAGTCCCGAAGGAGCGAAAACACCTCGAGGCACAGTCTCAGCAGCTTTCACGGCGACAGGCAGGGCCTGATCCGGGCCTATGACGAGGAAGAGGCTGCGGGATTCGGCCTCACCGACCTCGCCGATAGCGATGACGAGGGCCGTCGCCCTAACGGTGCAAACGGCTCCAATGGCTCGGCCAACGGCTCGGCCAACGGCAAGAAGCAGTATACTAGCAACGACATTGAGCTCGAGTCCCGAAAGCACTCCGACAGGTAGTAGGAAATTCACTCGACCAGTTTTCTTTTCTTTCTTTTTACAATTATCGAACTACATGAGAGAGGTCAACGTATGATGGATATACCCGCAAACCATTGCCATACATCTCTTGTGAGATAAACCAAATCAGTCGGCCAGAGAATGGTCAACCAAATCTGTATATTTGCCATGCAATGCCATTTCTGAAAAAAAAGGGGGAGGAGCTATCTTTCCATAGCGCAAGGGGGGAAGGTTTCCAGCTGCGTATGCAGGTCTCAGCTACTGCAAGCCGCTATAACGTCCGACAGAAAGAGATGGAGAGTCTAGGCCCAGGTGGCCTAGGAGGTCTTGTTTCTCAAAGATCTTGCTTCTCTGTCTCCTCTTCGCTTCTTTTTCCTATCTTACCCTCCTGGCTGTCCAAGTTTCCTGTCATCGTTTACAATGGGAGCAAATCTGCCGCGGCTGCGGCTCTACATGAAAGGAGGTGGGGTTCCGGAATCTACTGTCTTTTTTTAACCATTTGCTTTTCTTTTTTCCTTTTCTTGGTGGGGGGAGAGGCGTTTGTGTGTGTGTACGTGTCTCTGTGGGATAACTTGCTTTTATTTTTACGGTAAACATGACTGATCGGAAAGGAAACTGGATTTGAAAGCATGCTCCTGTTGTACGATATATATATTTTTTCTTGGGTTGGTTTGCATTTCTGGTGGCAAAGGTAGAAAGAAAGAAAGCGAGAGAGAGAACGAAGAGAAGAATCAAGAACTGGGTCTTTGGAAATGAAAAAGAGAGAGTGAGAGAGAGGCGGGTATTGCTTTTTTCTTTGTGTTGACACGATGTGTTATATATACCACAGGCTGTTGAATGGCCTATAACAACGAACGGCCACTTTCCTTTTTACTATTATTCTTATATTCCCCTTTTCTTATCCTGTTGATTGTAAATTTAGTACTACTTACCTTGTATTACACTTTGTCTGGCTTATAGCTGGATATTATATGTTTATATATATACCATACCATATCATGCAGCACGGCAGGCAGTAGCACTCTTGTGGGCAACGAATGGGGGAGTTTGGCCATGAAGTTATTTTTATATCATAAGATTCTCGTAAGTCTCACTTTTTTTTGTCTTCACGGCTTAAGAATGTCTACCAATGCCATGTTTTTTGAAAAAAAGGAAAAACAAGACGAAACCTTTTTCCATGCCCTTTAGCAGATGCAAATGATCAATTGACGCCTTAAGTTTGACCGCCATCCCTTTGCCCTGTGGCTTGATATATCATCCTCTCGCGACCCACAAAACGTTTGTTCCTTTGCTTTAGGTTCTTTTCCTCCCATTTGCAAATAACACACACACAAAGACCCTTTTTCCCTTCACCATTCACCACCGGCGGAAGCATCCTACTGCTCCTCAGCGGCGGGCTGGGCCTCCTCAACGGCACCCTCCTGCTCGGCGACTCGCACGTCCTGGCTGCCCTGGGCGGCCTGGGCGGCCTTGGCGCCGTAGTCCTGGCTGACGGGCTGGAGAACAGCCTGCTCCTCCTTGGGCTCGATGATGGTGACGGCGTCAGGGAGCGACTTCTGGGGGCCGGCCTTGCCCTCGGGGTCGGAGCCGCGCATGATCTTGACCTTGATACCCAAGACACCCTGTCGGAGCAGGACGTGGCGGGTGGCGCTGTCGATGAAGTCCTTTGCGGGCTGACCAGAGTGGATCATGAAGCCGTCGGTGAACTTCATGGACTTGGCACGAGCAGCACGGAGCTTTCCAGACACAACGACCTCGCAGCCCTTGGCGCCAGACTCCATGATGAAGCGCAGGACACCATAGCAGGCACGACGAACGGCAAGACCGTTGAGCAGCTTGTAGCGCAGGGACTCGCACTGGGCGACGGCGGAGAGACCGCGGTTCTGGACCTTGGCGGCGTACAGGGAGACGGAGTTCTCGGGGAACTTGAAGCGCTTCTGGATCAGGGAGGTGAGCTCGCGGATGCGGCGGCCCTGCTCGCCGAGGACCTCCTGGGTGTGGGTGGCGCGGACGATGATGTCGGTGACGGTGGGGGTGACGCGGACCTCGACGCCGGAGTAGCCCTCCTCAGCGAGCTCGCGCTGGAAGAACTCGTTCAGCTCGGCGTAGAAGACACCGTCGGCGACGAACTTTCTCCGCTTGGAGCTGTAGAAAGAGAAGAATGTTAGCGGATATGGTCTGGTATTATATGCAAATGGTGGTAGCAGCAAGGGGGTTTGTGATGCTGGTGGTGGTGATGGTGGTGACAATCCTCCCCAATATCGCAACGATTCTTTGACTTCTTCGATGTTGATTGATCCCCTCAATGGATCAATGCCTTGTCCATTTCCCTTCCTTCTCTTGTTCCACATTCTTCTCCCATCTCTTCAACTCTTCTCTGACGATGCCATCATCACCACCAAACCACCAACCACCACCAAGAAAAAAACGACGTATGCTTGCTTGTGTATATCGATATAAAGAACGACGAGGGGCAATTCTGCACTCACATCTGAGCACCAGGGTGGGACATTTTGACTGGTAGGGATTCGAAAGTCTGTTGTGTGTTGACTTTGAAACTGGTGATTTCGTCTGGCCGTGCAAAAAGGGAACAAAGTTCGCGATCTCTTGGGAGGGAGGGTTTGGCGGGCTGGGGCTGGCTTGATTCAACACACACAACACTCACAAAATTCGCTGGCTTTGGCGTACCCGCAGGGCAATTTTCGCCTTTTTTGTGTGGGTTGAGCCCTAACCGGGACGAAGTGGGTGCCTCTCTGGGAGCCGAAAAAAAAGAAGTGGAATTTGAATGCGGTACGTACCTGGATCCGCTAATCTGGCATGTACCTTGTACAAAGTAGCACAGCCGGAGAATCAGTTTTGGCGAACTGCCGGCTCTGGGCATTTGATAGCAGCCAGCAGCATTAACCTGAAGACTTGAGGTTCCCAAGTTGGATATCTATCACCCTGTGATCTAAAGTTCACAGTGATAAAAAGCAGATAAAAGAACAGAAAACGTAGCAATGATGACAATTATCAAAATAATGCAGCGATAAAAGAAGATGGAAGAAGGGGGATCAATGGCAGCTGGGCTTATAAAAGCCAGCGATGTTAGCAGGTATCTACATGAAGAACCAAGCATACTGTAAGCGCCACTAAGATGGTCCGTAATGAATGGAAAGAGAGCAAAGCCCAACACAACCTCACCAGAGACGTTCAAGAAAAGTCTCAATTCAGATCATCGTTATTTCCATAATTCTCATTTCAAAACACGCTATAAACATTCCCAAAACGCACCACACAGTCGCTGAGACTGCTCTCTACAATCTACTCTGACATGTCTGTTTTACACGCTGCCAAGCACTCCATGTTTTTGCCCCTTTTGAAGCAACGCAGCCATACTCACAACACTCCAATTGCCCAACCAAGAGTGAAATGATCAAGTCGCTGATGGAGCAGTGCTATCCAGGGAGCCACTTGTTTAATTAGTTTAAAGTCTGTCATCCCCATATCATATCCCGCTGGTACTTTTAGCTAGCCAGAAAATATGCCCAGTTCTTGCCAGAACTCATCTTCTATCCGCCTCTGTATGACTTCGTTTCTTTTTGTAGGTAGCCAAAATCTGGCTTTGGCAATAGGAGCGTGTTAAAAGACGACAAGAAAAGAGGAGAAAAACGTCATGATTATCATATCTATCGTCTGGGTTCATTGTAGCCACACCAATCTCATCCTACACGGCCATCTTCAATGTCATCATCATTCACAACCTTTGAAAAAAGGGGATGCCACGCGTCTTGCGTCTGGTTGGTTTGTATTCGAACTCTGAGTCGGATGATGACTCGGATCTGGGATCAACTTCAATCATCGTCATCTCCGACATAGTACGCGGTCGGACGTAGCGGCGGGTGTTTTGTGTCTCCGTGATCAAATAAGGCGCCGGGCCTTGGTCTGGAAACATGACCTCCTATGTCATCTCTCGCATCTCTTGATCGCGAGAAATGGGCGGCGTCGAGTCCTGCGCAACGGGCTCGGCAGCAGGCTCAGCTGGGCGGCCAAAGTTGGACATTACGGCCTTGCTTATGTTCAGCCCGGCGATGCCATCGCGTAGGGCGGCAAATGCGCTCATCCCGTCCGCGGATACGCTGTGCTGCAGAGCGGTCTGTCTATCCTCGGGCGTTAGGATGGTGTGTGCAGTTTCCACCGCTGTGAGAGCCGATTGACTTGTGGAGAGGCTGGGCGGCCTTGGGCTCGGGGCTGACGAGTCCGGGGCCTCTTCGACGCGGGCAACGCTGGGGTAGTTGAGGCTCGAGACGGCGGCCTGCCTGTCGCTTTCCGCAATAGCGGCGGCGTTGAGGGCTCCATTCATTTCGTCCTCGGTCCTGCCAAACAGCTGATGCCACCATCGAATCTCTTCAAGACGCGGCAGAATGATGCGCTCTTTCCCCTTGATGTGGTCATCAATTGTCGGGTCGTAGTCTGGGTTGGTGAATTCAGCTCTCCGGCAGAGGAAGTAGTCCCACACGGAAGACGTCTTTTCCGCTACGCCAGCATCTTTTCTCTGCTTCTCTGAATTGTACAAGAAGGTTCCATATTGACACGAGTACGAGTGGTATAGTAGGCGTCGAAGGAAGCGTTCGTTGAACTCGAAGCGGGTCTTGTTCTGCCGCAGCAGCTGGTACATGCAGTCGAGGAACTGGTGGAACACTGGACTAATCATCTTGGGCGAGGTGGCTTCCTCATCCACCACTTGACCGCTGGCACCCTCACCCATAGTGGCGAGATCGGCGGCATCTTCCTTATTTGAGGTAAAGAATCGTTTAGCACCACTAATGACGTTTTGGAAGGCGTCAGTCCGGCCATCGTTCTCTCCGGGTTGGACCTTGAGACCAGCGAATGCGTCTTTCTGAATGGTAAACCAATCCTCTGAATTAAGATGGCCTGAGCGTAACCTAAACATGTAGCCAAAGGACAGCCAATCTTTCTCTATGAGGACGATGAAGCCGTCAATGGTACGATAATAGGGGTCCAGCATGATTTGGGACAAGGCACTCAGTTGGCTGGTACGGTCCCAGCCGTCTGAGCAGTGGATCAAGACGTGCGAGTGTCTGATACCAACCTGGCGAGCAATGAGGGCTGACCCGTCGAGGATATCGTGAATGTGTCTCAGCCAGTTGCTCTGATGTAGAAGCTCGCGGTTGGGAGGCAAGGGGGACAGGTCGGCATCCTTTAGCGCCTCCACTACTTTGAGCAAAGAATTGCGCATGATGTGAATATTGTCAATGTTGAGGAAGATTTTTTGTGCGAATTTATACTTGTCCATAGGTTCCGAGCCCATCCCCTGTACCTGATTCATAATGGCATTGATTGTGGGACGGGCGTCGACGATCAGATTGTTCTGCTGAGCGCCATAGATGAGCCGCTTGCCAGTCTTGTCGTCATAGAGGGCAGCGGATTTCGAGATGAGTTCGTCCTCGTATCGTTCGGTTTCCGTCAGCTGCGTCTCCAGCATAACGGTACTAGTGGATACCTCTGCCTGGCTAGACATTGGAGACGAGTCTTCTGAACCTCCATTGCCTACCGAGGCTGAGAAGGAAGCAGCGACGAGCTTCTCGTCTTGAACATTGGTTCTCCTGGTAATGCCTGCCAGGGGCTGAGAGCTTCTTGTAATGGTACAGTTATTAATGGGGTGGATGTATGAGAGGGCGGGTATCCGGTTCCTCGAGCGAAATTCCTTTGCGTACTTGAGGACATTATCAGAAATCTTGGAGGGCACGACGAGGACGGCCGGGTAGGTATCGCAAAAGCTATAGTCCTGATTGATGTTGGTGATCCTCCAGCCTTTGTCGGGGAGCTTTTCACTGATGCCCTGTCGGCGAAACTCTGCTCTTGGGTCATAGAGATTCCAGCCGTTGACCTCCTTCTCCATCTTGGACGGCTTGTGGCTAAAGGCAAAGAGGTTCTGTACGGTGCCAAGCTTGCAAGTCCGGCACTTGATGTGGTCATAGGCCTCTCTCGCAACCTCGGTGGAGGTGAAGTTGAAGGCAATAAAGGTAAAGTCTCGGCATTGGATGCGTATCGACGGGGCTTGGCGGGAAGACGGAGGGGTCGGCCGGAAGGTGCAGTGGGAGAGCATTGGATACGTGATCCATCGTTCGCGTTTCTTTGGCGGAGGTGCCGGTTCTTGGCCTTGGTGCTCTGGCGGCTCGATGGTTGCGCTGAAGACCATGTGGAAGTCAGTCAACGTCAGCGTGCCCGTGGCCGTCTGGCCGCCGTTGATGCCCTGGACGCGCTCGATGATCTGAAAAGAGCCATGGTCAGTGACCTGCGAACATGCGAAACTTGGGACTTGATGCTTGTAATCTGCTTGTGATCTGTCTTGAAGAGAACAAGCCAAACCAGCCCCCGAAACTGTGAGAGATATCGCACCTTTTTGGCCTCCATGATGAGCGCAGGGCACAGGCACAGCGGCTGTGATGTGAGGAGAGAAGCGTCGTCAGAGCTCCAAAAAGCGGCATCACCATGGAGAACCTTGGAAGTCGAGCCTCAGCAGGGCCAGCGCTGGCGGGGCACCTGCCCGGGGAGTGGGGTTATGCTGGGAGAGCCCCAAAAGACGTCAGGCGCGGTGGCCATAGCACCTTAAATAGGTACATGTAGGCACCTGTACAGGCTGTACAGGCTGTACTACGGAGTACAGTGACATGGAACCTTGAACCTTGAATGAGAGGAGTGGCTGCAACGGCTACCCTACAAAGATATCAATGGATCTGATTATTCGCCTTAACCTTTGTTTTCACCCCTTTTTCCTTTGTTCTTTCACAAAATAACCGTTGAGCTGCTAGGCAGCCATCCTTTGATGCTACAGTCTACTTCCCTTACACCTTTGTGAGATAGTCCTTGGCCTATACCGTTGTAAAATACTAAGCAGCGAATGAAGTTGTTACACATACAAAGATTTTTGTTGGATGAACAAAAGACACCAGCTATGTGTTTTGGAAAAGATTTCTACTGCTTTTTTAACTACCAGATCTACTGTATTTCTCTTTTTCAAAATTTCTTCCTTTCTTGCTCATGAGGTCTGTGGCTCTAGCAAAGCATGCAGATTATAGGAAAACCTCTAGGTTAATCTCCAAAGTACTGACGGGGAATCTATAAAGGGGAAAAATAAATAGTTAGCATCATAAACTCTTTTCATTTGTCGAAAAAGGTAAAGGTAAGAGTATAGACAAAACGTACCTTAGATCAAACTTTTCTAGCACAGTGGGGTGCAAAATGCCAAACTCGCCGATGCGCTGCTCCTTGCCGCCCAATCTGAGATAAACGGCGGCGGCGTGGCCGTGGAAGAAGGTGTCTTCGTTGAGCTCCTCGATCCAGTAGCCGTCGGGCTTGACGCCATCGCTGCCGGCAACAAAGTTGGTGCGCAGCATGAGCATGAGACGATCCAGCAGGCCGTGCACGACCTCGAAACCACTCGACTTGCCACACCAGGCGGCGGCAAAGTGGCGCTCGTTGCGAGCTCTGCGCTCCGACTTCTCGTCCTTGAAGACGACGTCGGCGGCCTCAAAGATCTTGATGGGCAAGCTGTGGCTCTTGTTCTCGCGGATCGTCTTGATCAAGCCGGGCAGCAGGGAAGTCCGCACGACCTGGTACTCCAGCGTCTTGGGGTTGGCGAGCTTGACAACCGTCTTGCCGTCATCCTTGCGGTTGAGCCAGCCAAAGTTCTCGTCATAGCTGCACAGGGTCAGGGGCATGACCTCGCTCCAGCCGGCCATGGCAGCCTCGATGCGCACAATGTCGCTCAGCTTGTTGATGGGCAGAGGGGCGGCCACGGTGGCGCTGTTGTTGGGAGAGCTGCGAGGAAGCCTGTTGAAGCCGTAGCAGACGGCCACGTCCTCCATGATGTCGGCCTGGTGCAGGACATCGGCACGGGTGGGGGGGATGGCCACCTCCAGCAGGTTGGGGTCCTTGTCTGAAGGGCGGGCGACATAAGCCATCTTGGCGAGAAGCTTGCAGAGGCTCTCACGGGACTCGTTGAGGCCGGTGCAGCTGTTGAGGTAGTCGACTTCGGCGTGAGTGACGCGGGGGCGGAGATGGGGGGTGACGCGGGTCTGGTTGTTGTGGTCCGAGATGATCTTGACGGGCTCAACGGTGAAGGGCTCGGCGCAGTACTCGGAGAACATGGTCACCATCATGTCGGTGACAATATCCAGCTTGGTGATGTCGGTGGCAGTGATTTCGATGAAGACGTTGGTGGTGTTGAGGGTGATCTTGGAGTGGTCGCCGTTGATGATGGGGGGCAGCGAGCAGATGACTCGGTTGGAGTCGAGAATCAGGGGGTATACGGGGGCATCGCGGATGATGTGCAGGTAGCGGCCCAGGTGTCGGTCGTTTTCGTAAAAAGTCATGAGCGTCTCGCCAGTCAGCTCTTGTGTCTGGTTGAGAGGGACAAACTTGAAGTCCTGGGGCGGCAGGGCCTCGTATGTGAAGGGGCCCTTGATGGTGTCGAGGTCGTGGGTTCCAATGGACACCAGTGTCCGCTGGCGGGCGAGATTCTGGTGCAGCTTGTCCTGGAGGGCGATGAAGGACTCGTATCGGTCCTTGGTGAACTTGATGTTGCGCAGGATGGCGCCGGACACGTAGGGCCTGACCTTTGATGTCTCGGGAGAGACGGTGATGGTCTGCAGGATGCCGTCCTTGGGCTCTACCACTCTGTAGTTGGGAGGCTTGGTGCGGCCGAGGAAGATGTTGAGGTTGAGGGCAATACCCTCGAAGCAGAGCATGTCATAGCGGTTGGCGGGAATCTCAATCTTGAGCTGAGGGGGTTCCTGCTCGCCATTGACAATGGGCCGTTCCTCGTCTTCGGTGTCTTCGTCGAGCTCGATGCCGAATTCGAAGCAGAGGTCCTCAAACTCGGCCGTGGTGAATCTAGAATTGCAAGTGATTAGACGTGTGCTATAAGATGTACAGGATATACTACTGCATTAGGGGGTATGCAGCGTATATTGTGTGTATATAACAAAGTAGCCTCTGTATGGTATCGTAGGCTGTAGAGACGTGGATGGACAGATGGATGGAGGGGGTGGGAGATGGCTTTCGCATTCGCATTCACAGACGCAAATGCCCAGTTGAAGAGACGTACTTGCGGCCGAGAGCCTCGTAGAGCTTGTACTTGTCGACGGAAATGGTCGGCATCGTGAGGACGAGATTTGATGGTTTGGGATGCCGGATTGGCGAGTCGTGCAAATTGTCGTCGCTTTGAGTCACAGGAATTTTTGGAGGGACGATGGCGGGGTGATTTGATATTGAAGGTGATAGCGGAATGATGCAGAGGGACTTGGCTCGGGGTGGAAAGCGCTGAGGACAGCCAGGTACCTCGCTAACTCGCAGCACAAGTAGCGCTTTCGCAGGTCCTGAAATCGGCGGGGTGACGGAACATCGATGCTCCCTTTTCCATTCATCTCACTTTTTCGCAGCCGCATGTACGTACAGGTACCTCTAGCAGCAACCCGTTCTACCAAGGCACGATCCCCGCCTCTCCACGTATCAGTGGCAATTGATGCTAACAAATAGGGCTAGGACACAGGTGAGGGGAATGAGGAGGGGCTGAAGGCAGAGAAATCGGCTGCATCAGCTGTTGTTTGAAGCTTGCTGTCATTGTACAGCAGCCTTTGAAGTTTATCACTTTGGTGCCTCAGCCGGACAATCTATATGCCTGTCCTTTGTAGCATGATGATGTATTCAATCCATCTCTACCAGGGTACCTATGCGAGACTGGTGTAACGTTGAGCAGCACCTTGAGTCCTGATTTCACGTTTTTATAGCACCTGAGAGCTGTTATTATATAGTTGAATCCATATCAAACCATACTGCACCCTGTATTTCGCTTCGACATTCATCTGCCAACAGGCGGTACATGTAATAACTCGTACACGTACCTGTACACACGGCAAAGGGGCAAATTACAATAAAAGGACGGGCTACAGGGGCAGCGGGTGGGGGCTCACAGGTACTTGCGTGGCGGGGCACTCCATGTTAGTGCTCCAGCGGCGATCCCACCACCGCCGCTAACGCCCTGCAAGCATCACCGCTTGTACCTCCAGCTTGCTCGTCCCTGTAGCACCTGGCAGCACCGCTATAACCGCCTCGCTGCTAGGCTCTTGCTGGGCTCCAACAACAGCTTCGTGTCTCTCGATCCAATCTTCACCCCTCAACTCCGGCACTTCAGCTGTCCACCTCCAGCCTCGTCCCGCCGCCTCTCAGCCCTGCTTCTCGAGCTCTCCAGGATCCGACTCTCGGCAGCGGCAAGGCGACAGTCGCTGCTCAATTCCGCCCTGGTTCTGGTTCTGCTTCGGCTTCAGGCTGCGCAAAAGCCATTCGTCCATTGCATCACCAGCTTCACCTCATCCCTACGCCATCGGCCTCGTCGCTCGCCGCTCGCCCTGCCAATCCTCGATTCCCAGCTACATCTGCGGTGCTTCAACCGTCTCGATTCGACTCGCTCAACGCGCCCCTTTTACTCTTTCCGCCGCCCATCTCCCGCTCTGCCTCCCCCCCTCGTGACACGCCATGGCTGAAGCGCCAAACGCAAACGACGAGCTCTACCCCATCGCCGTGCTCATCGATGAGCTCAAGGTATATCACGCCCAGTAACATTTCTTCTACTCTGTCTTCTTCTTCTGGATGTACTTTTTTTTTTACTCCTCTTGTGACGTGGTGCTGACTTTGGGCTCTCTGCTATTCGCTAGCACGACGATGTTTTGCTCCGACTCAACGCGATTCACCGGCTCTCCACAATTGCTCTTGCCCTCGGCGCCGAGCGAACAAGAGATGAGCTGATTCCCTTCCTCGACGGTCAGTAACAAATCGACTCTTGCTATAGCCATGCTGCCATTTCCATCTCTCCCACCCTCTCAGCTGTTTGCTTGGTCTTGGGCTCTAATCTGACGTTATGACGCAGAGTCTGTCGAGGACGAAGACGAGGTCTTGGTCGCCCTGAGCGAGGAGCTTGGCAACTTCATCGAATACGTCGGAGGCCCTTCGTGGGGTCACGTCTTGCTCTCTCCCCTCGAGAACCTCGCCGCCATTGAGGAGCCCGTCGTCCGAGACAAGGTAAGACGCTCAATGACGCTAGCCCGAGCGCTTTTGGCTGACGGCGCAAAATTCTAGGCCGTCGAATCTCTCAACAAGATCTGCGAGGAGCTCTCACCGCAACAGGTGGAGGAGTTCTTCATCCCCCTCACAATCCGACTCGCCAAGGCAGACTGGTTCACGTCCAAGGTGTCTGGTTGCGGTCTCTTTACAGCTCCCTACAAGAAGGTGTCTCCTCCCGTCCAGGAGCAGCTTCGCCAGCAGTTTGGCCTTTTGGTCCACGATGAGACTCCCATGGTCCGCCGCCAGGCCGCGTCCAATCTGGCCAAGTTTGTCAAGGAGATGCCCCCCGCCATTGTCATTGAGGAGATGATTCCCCTCTTCCAGCACCTCGTTTCAGACGACCAGGACAGTGTTCGATTACTCACTGTTGAGATTCTCATCGCCATTGCCGAGGGCGTGCCTAAGGAACAGCAGGCTAGCCATGGTGTCCTGTTGACTTCTCTGCGAAACCTGATTGAAGATAAGAGCTGGAGAGTCAGGTACATGATTGCCGATAGGTTCGAAAAGGTCGGTAGCAGGATGCTTGAAACGTTGCAGTCATTCCTCAGTTGCTAACCCCCCGTTGCAGATTGCCAAGGCCGTAGACGAGGAAGTCGTCTCTAGAGATTTGGTGCCCGCATTCGTCAAGCTTCTTAAGGATAACGAGGCTGAAGTCCGGACAGCCATTGCTGGTCAGATCCCCGGCTTCTGTGGCCTGGTGGACCGCCAGACGCTTCTCAACGACATCATGAGCAGCGTCGAGGATCTCGTCTCAGACACGTCCCAGCACGTCCGTGCCGCTCTCGGAACCCAGATCAGCGGCCTCGCCCCTATATTGGGCAAGCAAGAGTACGTGCCTACTAGCCCCTTGTAATGTTGCTTGGCTGACATGCATGTTTGTAGGACGATTGACCATCTTCTACCCATGTTCCTCCAGATGCTCAAGGATGAGTTTCCCGAAGTTAGGCTGCATATCATCTCCAAGCTGGAGCTGGTGAACCAAGGTACGAAGCATAATGTTATGACGTGATTCAGGAGAATCCTTGTAGAGCTAACAGTATTGGAAAAAAGTCATTGGCATCGACCCCTTGTCCGTCTCGCTGCTGCCCGCCATTGTCAACTTGGCGGAGGATAAGCAGTGGCGTGTACGCCTCGCTATCATCGAGTACATTCCCCTATTGGCCAGCCAGCTGGGCGTCAAGTTCTTTGACGAGAAGCTCAGCAACCTGTGCATGGGATGGCTCGGCGACACTGTCTTCTCCATTCGTGAGGCTGCTACGCACAACCTGCGAAAGCTGACTGAGGTGTTTGGCGTGGAGTGGGCAAGCGAGGCCATCATCCCCAAGGTTATGACAATGGGCAACCACCCCAACTACCTGTACCGGATGACCACTTGCTTTGCCATCTCGGTAAGTTTCAACTCTTGTCATATCATAGCCATGCCCATGACCGGTGACTAACCTGCTTGTCTTTTTTCTTCCGAATGCAGACGCTCGCCCCTGTAGTTAGCATAGATGTCATCTCCAAGTCGATTCTTCCCATGCTCGACAAGATGACCGAAGACGACATTCCCAACATCCGATTCAACGTGGCAAAGACGTACTCGGTCCTCATCAACGCCCTGCAGCGCCTGCCGGAACAGGGCACCCTCTACACAATCGAGCAACAGGGAGCCCAGGCTGCACCGACGACGCCTTCGCCTCGGGGCCAGGAGCTGATTCAGCAGCGCATCGTTCCGAACCTAACCAAGCTGCAGAAGGATGACGATGTGGATGTCCGTTACTACGCGACACAGGCGGTCGCCGAGGCTTCAGGAACCGGAGCATCAGGAGGCGGGGAGCCCATGAATACTTCACCATAGATGAGAAAACCCGTAATGAAGCAATGATTTTGTCCCTTGTCCCTGTCTGTGCTGCAGCGGCTTTTGGTCTCTGCGTTTCAAAGGTTTTTTTTTATTGTTTTACATTTTCGATTTTGAGTCCTATATCCTTGGACAAGCTGTGGCGTGAGAGTACAAGTTTTGATGCAACGAATCACACAGAGACAATGTCGACTGAGGCGGACGGACGGACGGATGGATGGATAGGGAGGGGGCAGCATGGCAAACAAGGGGAGAAAACAAGAGAAAAAAAAAAAGAACTAAATAAGGTAGTGGATAATGGGCAGCATAAAGGTGGAAGCATCTTTTGTAGACTCGAGAGGTGTAATGTGGGGGGGTCAAGGTAAACGAACATGCCGTTTTTTTTCTTTTTATAATCCTCTCTGTAGTACTTTGGTGATATAATTTGTGTCGTATTGTATTTGTAGTAGGGGGCATCATACACATCCCCATGGCCTTTCGCTTGACTGAGAATGTTGTTCGTCTTGTCCAAGAAATTCAAGCTATATACACACATATCTACTCTAAAACTCCATCTTTTCTGTCTATCTATCACCACATGGTATCATTTTCATCCCAAAACAAATCACTCGCTCCCAACCACCCCTCTCCTAAAACACAACGTCGTAATCGTCTGGCCCTTGACCCCTCCAAACGTAAACGTCGGATACTCAACCCTTCCCACGACGCTTAACTCCCCATCCTCATCCTCCTCGAACCAGCTCCGCAGCTCAGGTTCCGTCCAGTTACAGCTCGTGACGAGAAACACGCCGCCGTTGGGGTTGAGTAGTTGCAAAAGGCGCTTGCGGTACGTCTCGCAGGGGTTTGTATTTTCGTCGGAGGAGAGACCCGCGGAGAGACTGATTGCGTCAAAGGTGCCCTTGTCGAGGATGATGTCGAAGAGGGTTTCTTGGGAGGGCGCAAAGGATAGCGGGGAGGATGCGTCGTTGGGAGAAATGGGCCCGGCCAGGAGGTCCCATTCAAGAAAGCGGACTGACGGGGTCTTTTCTGCTTCTCCTTCTTTTTGATCACCTTGTTCTGCTTCTTCTTCTTCTTCTTGAGCGTCCCTCGTCTCGCCAATCCTCTTCGCCAACGCAACGCTCTGCGCACTGTAATCCACGCCCAGCATCTGCCCTTCCCACCCGTCGTCCCTCAGCGCAAACAGTAACTCGCCATTCCCACACCCGAGATCCATCAGCGCGGCATCCTCTTTAGACAGCGGCTTCTCAAGTACATCTTGGTCGTCTTCGGTGAGGGCGTCGAGGAAGGCGACGATGCGGCCCTCTGCGTCGGAGTCGTCGAACCAGTTTGTGCCGGTGTCGGAGGGGTTGGCGGCGTGGTTTGTGAGTTCGGTGGTGTAGAGCTTGTCCCAGCTGCGGAGTGAACATGTTAGAGTATGATGTGATATGGTGATGGGGGGTTTTCATATCGAGTTGTGATGTATAAGAGAGGGAGGGAAACTTGCTATTCTTTGGTACCGAGCTCGGAGGGGTCGAGATGGGCTGGTTTACTTGACGATGCCATTGTATCTGGGGAATTGATTCTAAAAAAGACGAGGCTATTGAAAAGATGCTTGAATGAGAAGGGTTGTAGAATAATTATCCTTAGCAAAAGATTGTATGTCGATAGCATATGGAGGGGCAGCTAAAGTTGCAAAGTGCCTGCAGTCAGTCCAATTGGGGCGGGCTGAATGTGGTAGGCGGTGAGTGTCGCTGGGTGAGGGGCATTGCCTCAAGCTGCAAACTTGCGTCAGATCCGCAATTTGATATTGGATAATGTTCAGTAAGAAGTATATAATAAATGGCTACAAGTTTTGCTAATGGCTTTTTTATTGTTTGCTTCAAGACATGGCAATTGCTGTCAAGCTTAACATTCACCGTCACCGAATGTACAGTCCATAAACATCGATTACACAAGAAACAGCCCAGTTTCATCTATTGATTTAGGCCTCTTCCTCTCTCTGTAGTAGATAGGTAGCTATCATAGCTACAAACCAGATCCAACATCAAGTGTAAAAAGAAAAAAAAAGTCAAAAAAGAGAAAAAAAAAAGTAGTGGTAAAAAGTAAGTGTACACTCAAACGCCTCCCATGCATGACCAGCATATCTCGCGCGCCCACGAGTGACTGCCGTCATCCCGTTCGGTTTCTGTCTTTTTTCTTTTTTCTTCCAACACAAGAATAAAAGGAAAAAAGACGGTTTCGTTAAAGAAAGCAAACAAAATGGGTTCCCATCAACACCATGCCTGTGTCGGTTTGTTCAAACAATCCCAAAACAAGTAAAAAACAACATCAAGTAACGGAGTCAACCACCAAAGAAGAAAGAGAAATCCGCTTAGTAGAAACTCTCCACCATGGTGTCTTTCATTGTGGTGTTGATGTTGCTGGGGCCCTGGCCTTCGCCGAGTCTAAAGACGCTCTCGATGACGCTCAGCTCGGTGGACGTGGTGTCGAGTCCGGTAACGGCCATCCAGTCGTTGACCACCATGCCGGCGCCCACGACGTTGCTGCCTCGGTTGACACTGCCGGCCACCAGGGGGATCTGCAGCAGACTCGACAGCTCGTCCTGGTCCTGGATGGTCGTCTTGGGGTGCACCAGGCCGCCCTGGTTGGAAATGCTCATGTAGCTACCGACGAGGACGTTGTCGGCGACGGTCTGGCGAAACACTTCGACGCCTAGCACGTCGGCGATGATCTCCTCCGTCTCGCGCTCCAGATCAGGGTGGACCAGGGCGATGTGGTCGTTGGTGGCAATGACGTTGCCCAGGGCAGACAGACGCTCCTCGATGCGCTGGATGCGCACCGAGTCGGGCAGCGAGTTGCGCAGGTGCTGCAGCTCCTGGTCCGAAGTCGTCGTGGGCACCAAAAGGCCCTTGCGGTTGCCGGCCGTGAGGCGTCCGATAATGCGCGTGCCGGCGATGGTGGTGCGCACAATGGGGATGACGTCCTGGAGCTCAGCCTCGAAGACACTGCGAGATATCTCGTTAGGGCTTGTTCCCGTCGCTGCTCGTCATGGTATTTGATTTACCTGTAAAAGTTCTCGCTGGCACCGAGAGCCACCAGGGCATATGAATTTGTCAACGTCGCAAAGACGCCAACCCTGCAGAAAACCACCAGAGTCAGTTAAGGTCCGGAAATCCAGCAGTTGAAGGAAAAGAGAGAGAGAGAGAGAGAAAGAGCCAGGGAGTCCCAAAGCAATGCGATCCAAGTCGACAAAAGCTCAAGATCCCTCCCCGTCCCGTCTTCTTCCCCCTCCCCCTCCATCAATCACAAGACGAAGAAAAAACATACTCGTTGGAGTTTTCAAACTGAGCACGAACAGCCATGATGCTTGTAGTATCAACAACACAGTTCTGTATCGGTAGAATAGTGACGGTGTTTAATAAAACAATTAAAAGAATTAAAGAAAGCTTCGAATCTAAAGAAGCTTGTCTTTTGTCTGTATGTCGATGTAGGAAAAGAAAAGAAAAGCTCAGATGCTGAACCCGCTAAAAAAAAAAAGACTGCTGATGAAAGCAAAGTGCCCCGCGGATCAAGTTTTTTTTCTGCCGGAATGGGAATGAAGTGGAAGAGGGGAGATGGACTAAGTGCAGTGGTTTCTCAGCGCCTTATAAGTACCAGCAAGCACTGAGGTACCTGTATCTGTACATGCAATCTTTCTGCGCCTAGCGATGACTCTACCTCTCACTTTCAGTGTAACAGCCCGCTAAAAAAACAGCCTGTGTGATTCGCCTTGCAGCAAAGCCTCATCTCATCTCAGCTAATCTCATGCTACATTCTACGCCCCAGAATCAAGAGCAAACGAGTCAAGATAAAAAATAATTACAAAAAAATCACAATAAAAAAGACAAAAGAGGAAAAAGAAGAGTCACAAAGTGCTCACAAGCAGCATAGCGCAGATAACCAACACAGCCAACCCGCAGCAACAATTAGGATTTGATGTCAAATCAATTGGAGCCCTCGATGACTCAGTCCAGCTTTAGTGGCCAAAAGTACCTGCCGGGCCCTTCCGCGCCACCAAGGGTACTTCAGTCCCAACTAAGCCAAGACCCTGAAGCTGTGACTCAACACTGAGATCCATTGGAATCGTGCATTGCCACAGAACAGGGTGCGGTGACTCTTTTCCCCATGGTTTCATCGCATTGAATTGATTATAATGGGGGAACAGAGATTAATGCCGAAAGAGGCAAGAAAGAAAAAGAAAGAAAGAAAAGAAAATTATCACACTGAGAGGCGAAATAGGTGTCGCTCAGGTAAAGGGTTTGTTGACTATATCGAACAAGGACCCCCTATAGCTTCGAGTTATCACCCCCGCCGACTTTGTACTTGGAAGATATCGTCATTCGTTGCTATAAGATACTATAACAGAGAGGCATAGCCGCTTCTTGTTTGCCTCTATAAACTCATACTGCATTTAGCTCCCTCTCTCCGCCCGTGGAGTATATCCCTGCTTGTAACATAAACATCCAGTGTCTCCATCCTCATTTTGCGGAATGCGATTATTACCAAGACGACCACTCTACAAGAAAAATGATTGTATTCCATGAACTAGCCAAGGAGTGCTGGTGGCTCTTCCCAAACGCTTTCTACTGCCATCTCCACCGAACCTGTTGCAAAAAATGAGACGGCGAGGCTAACGAGGATAATCTCCGCAGCAAAGAGAGGGAATGCGATGGCTAATGCCTGCGCGGCCAATGGAGGAGCAAACATCGTGGTCACTCCAGCACCAAATGTTGCAATCTCTTTCCAGCTGGAATCGGGCAGATCGTCCAAGTTGCCGACATTATTTAGTACTGGCCGGTCATAGCCATCCCTCTGAGGAAGATTCAGCCAGACGAGGCGTTCCCCTTGCGCTATCTGGCCATCAATAGTTAAAGGAAGTAGATTCCCAAGGACGACAAAGGCACGAGGGATGACCAGCGTGCAGTATGACGGTATGAGGAGATGAAATGTGACATTCCTAGCATCATCACCGGCTTGTGCTTCTAGAGCAACTCGAGCGCAGAGCATTAACCTGAACACTGCAAAGAGGTCGTTGCTCAGGCCCAGAAAAAGCGGTTGTTCAGACTCAGACTCCTGGCGTATCCTAGCAAAGGCACCGTGCCAGTGTGTATCGGGATGGTAGATGAAGAAGCGATGCTGTTTGTCGTCACCCGTACGAGTATACTCTGCTACCTTGAGGTTCAGGAAATCGAGAACATTTCGTGCGAATCCATCTGGGCCGCCGCCTCCTCCCGCAACAAGGTTATTATGGATCCTGAGCTGATCCGCAATACCTTTGAGCTCTCTTCTAATCTGCTCTGCCTGATAAATCTTTATGACTTCGAGAACGATTGTTGCAGCAGAAAACAGACTATGTACCCGATTCCCGACATCACCCGTTTCACTTAGAACCCAAGCGGCCAGGGGTGTTTGGGTAGGCGGGGCTACATCAAGCGGTTCTGAGAGCTCAGTCGCGGAGCTTATGAAATAGTTGTACGCCCATCTCGCATCACCAAAATATAGTGCGAGCTCCTTCACGCAAAGTTGGGTAGATCGAAATGCCAGCGCCCGAGGCAACGAAATAGCGGGCTGCAGTGGTGATGATCAAGCGCAACGCCATGGTAGCTTCTCGCGGCTTGCTTAATGTGCGTTTGAGCGTTAAGATGTCAAGGTGAATAAGAATAAGAGACCCAACAGGAGGGTGAATTAACTGGCATATGTTCCAGCGCAGCAACCGCGAGCCGCGCTTCACCAGTATCTATACTCCTCTCCAAAATGACCTGGCCTGGCTCGTCAGAATGCCGCTGATGAAAAGAGATGTGAGGCCTCATAGATCGCTCTGCCTCGGCGCCTGATGAAACGAGATGGGAGCTTCCAAGCACACCCATTGACGTGGATGGCCTCTGATATCTTGTGATGGCCTCTAATAGGCCGCATTTTGTTGTCCTGCCTGCTATTGGCCCTTTCCCGAGGCCTCATCCTTTTGTTTAGTTGAGTTGCAGGAGATAGGTTCAATTGTATTTGGAAGGGTGCATGGCCTGCCAGATTCAAAATTGAAACCAGGGACTTGCCAGCCTTTCCGAATGCCTACATCAAATTTCCAAAGTTCCCTCAATACCTTACGCAAAGCTAGATCAGGCATTTTGAAGCGAGGGAGACGATGGAACTTATATAGAGAACCCTTACCAGCTACTGCTCTTAGTCATGCTAACAACAACAACCTCCCCCTAACCCCCAACCAACACTTCATCTTTGTCACTCTGAACATCACCTCACCACAACTTCCATGATAAATGGCGTAGCAATCATCTCTCATCATCTGCTCTAATAGCCTCTCAGGACCGTCCGTCTAGTCTTATTCTTTTCTTCTTCCTCAGACGGCCCCCCAAGTCTATTTACAAAACACAGCCTCGCTTCGCTTCACATGCCTTCATGCCCTCATGCCCTCATGCCAGCCATCCAGCCGAGTCAATCGTCATACAAATCCATAACCAAGTAAACAGACAACAAGGTAAAAGGTCTCTCTCACCATCCACAGTCCAAGAGAGAAATTAAAGAGGAGGAAGAAGGAACAATATATCCATTTCGGTCATCGGTACCAGCCTCCGTAGAGAAGAAGAGAATAAATAAAAAAAAAGAAAAGAAATAAATCGAGGGGAAATAAAGGGGTGTCATTTCGCCCTCATCACAATACACATGATGCGCTCTTGTCACCGCCCTGTTCCACCCTCTACAATGTCCATACCGGGGCCTTCATCAACACCTGTCGCCCTCTTACTTCAATGGCCACAAATCCTGCAAATCGTACGCGACCGGAATCTTTGGGGAATCCTTTAGTCAACAAGTTAGCAAAAGTTCATATAAGAATAATGAAGCAAAATAACTTACCGGCCTTGCTTGAATCTCCGCTGCTGCTGCTCTTATCCTTGTCTGCATCGGCATCCACCTTGGCCTCTCCCTCCTTCTGGCCATCGAGAGAAGGCAGTCCTCCCTTTTCGACTTCCATGAAGCCCGCCTGCAACACGTCTCCTGGCAGAGGATACATAATGGTCACGTCTCGGCTCTCCCGCGGCAGGTTGGCAGCGATGCCAATGGCCAGCTCCACAATCATCGAGGTGCTACCTTCGACTCCGGCCGGCGGCGGCTCAATGAGGAACTGGTACAGGTGTGCGGCCAGGTTGGTGGTCATCTTGGCAATCAGCCCTGCGCGGTTGTCTCCCGCTGTTGTCGAGTTGAGCTTGTGCTGCAGCCCATCGAGCGTCGCCATCCGCCAGTTGACCACTTTGGTCGTCAGCGCGTCAAACTCCTCCTGGCTGTGCATGGTGTACGCATTGCCTCGGATGTGGAGCTCAATCTCCTTGAGTTGGCTGCTAAAGGCGGCATCCAAGTCTGGGTGGAAGCACTTGTTGAAGACCTCGTCCACTATCCACTTGGTGATGACGGCTCTGCCCACTGCAGTCATCTCCTGCTTACCCGTCTTGAGGGCGTCGGGGCTGACAACTTTCTCGAGCCACTGGGGCAGGCGTCGCCAGTCCTTGCGAATGTTGAATGACAGGTTGTTGATGGCGCCGTTGAGTCGGTTGAACCTGTTGACGTACTCGTTGTCGTCGAGGGCGGTCCGCGATTGCGACATGCGCTGGTTGGCGACGGCATTCTGCAGATGCTCAATCTGGCCATTAAGCTGTTCGATCTGGGACTTGCCATCAAAGTAGAGGCGCTTCACGTTCTTATACTTTGTGACTGTAAAAACCGGCAACGTTAGCTGTACACCTTACTTGGATAACCTACGCCATCCCAACCCCCAGGCGGCGTAACCAGAGACGAGAGGAGAAAGAGGGTAAAGGAAATAGGAGACAAACGTAATTCTTTAAATGCCTTTTCCGATTCGGCATTGTCGCGCTCATGGGTCGAAGGCTGAGGACTATTCCGGCCTTGATCGCCAGTCGCCGCTTCATACCGCGGTGGAGCACCCGCGCCGCTGGCGGCGGCTCCGGCAGCACCAGCACCGGCGGCGGCTCCAGCAGGCTGTTGGCCGGGCTGGAGAGGTGCGCCGGGTACCGAGGTCATGTTGGAGTTGGTGTGAGTGTGACGATATCCAGGGGGTGCGCCAGGAAGGGCCTTGTCAGCACGGTTCGTAGGTGCGCCTCCTCCGGGCGGTGCCATGGCAGGTTGCGAGAGCTGCTGCTGGTTCGTGGGCTGGACGGGAGGCAGAGTGATGCTGGAAACGGATTCTTGTGCCGGCACAGAGTAATGGACGGCAGGTGACGGTTGCTGCTCCAGCTGTTGATTGAGCGATCGCTGGTCCGAATCGGGAGCTGGTGACTCGCGTGAGAGCTGAGAGATGGTTTCTGGGTTCTGCTGCTGGTGCAGCTGCTGTTGGCCTAGATGCGTAGTGACAATGCGCGGGTCTGTCGTCTGCTGATATTGATCTTGCGGTGAGCTGGCGGTGTAATACTGCTGGGGGGCCTGTGGCAATTGCTGCTGCTGTTGCTGAGGGTGACCTTGCTGATCGTAGACTGCCTGCTGGGGATCGTACTGAAGCTGCTGATGCTGTTGCTGCTGTATCTGCAACTCAAATTGTTGTTGCTGCTGTTGCTGTTGCTGAAACTCAAACTGCTGCTGCTGCAGGGATTCCTGAGATGCAAGCACTTGTGGGTGAGCGGACTGGGGCTGCTGCAACTGAGGCGGAGGCGGGATCTGCTGCTGCGAGTGATGATAGTCGTCGTAGGGCGATTGTATCTCGTCGGCGTGCGCCTCACGGATGGTGTTGATGGGCGGCACGGACAGTCGGGGGTCGTGCTGGAGGCGGGCCTGGTCGTGATCGTAGCCGTACTCTTCAGCCTCGCCCACTCCTTGCAGCGGCGATGTCTGGTGGACGGATGAGTTGGGCGTGTGCCAGTCGCGGTCTGGCTGGGGCGAGAGTCCCGTCTTGACGTTGGGCGGGTTGCTGTGACTGATGCGCTTGGACGGCCTGCGGGCGAGCCCGACGGTGTTGTCGTAGTTCTGAGCTGCTGCGGGGGCGTCGCGGTGGTTGTCGTGGTTGTTGCGGCCGGAGAAGATGCCCTTGATGATCTTGCGTGCCGATCGCTTCTCGGGGGCAGAGCCTTGCGAGGCTTGAGAGGCTGAAGCAGAGGCAGCGGCCTGGCCCTGGTGATGGCCCGTCAGTTCGTTGAGTGACGTCTGCGAGACGTTGAAGAGGTGGTGGAGCGATGCGCTGTAGCGCTGACTCTGGCGGACGGCGGAGGCGGCTTCAGCAAAATCGCCGGGGGGCTGCTGCTGTTGCTGCTGTGGCGGTGGCGGCTGTTGCTTCTGCAGCTTGCCCGTGCTCTGCTGCGGCGGCAAAGGTTGAGGTTGCTGATGCTGATGCTGGAGTTGAGGTTGAATTTGAGGCTGTTGATTCAGCTGATGCTGTTGCTGGAGCTGCTGGAGCTGCTGGCGGCCATCAAAAGCGGGCGCTGGCCCAATGACGGCGGGGTTCTGCACAGGCGAGGGGCCGACGCCGGACGAGCCCGAGTGAAACAGGAGAGCCGGACCAGCACCAACTGCTCCGGACTGCTGCTGAGCTTGCAATTGCTGCTGAAGCTGAAGCTGTTGTTGTTGCTGCTGCTGCTGCGTCACGTTAAACGACTCGCTGGAGCTGAGGGCACTCGTCCGCAAGGCTGACTGAGGGGTCGCGTCGGGGTGCGGCGGGTGCTGCAAATCTGCCTCAGCCGGCGCCGGTGGTGCTCTTGTAGGTTGTTGAGACACAGCTCCGGACTGCTGCTGCTGTTGTAGTTGCTGCTGCTGCTGCTGTGGCGACACCTCGGCAACCGCGTGCTGCGAACGGTTGCTGTGCTTGCCCAGGCCTCTGAAGCTGGGCATCCTTCCTCAACGGCGATTGACTGACTGATGACCTGGGTCGAGTTGCGCAGGTTTATTTTTGGCGCCGATGATCCAATCTGATGAGCTGGCCTCGCCTATGCGGCTTAGGCGTGTTAAAGGGGGGGACCCAACCGCTTGCGCTTTGCCTGAGCCCGCTGTATTGTAAGATCAATGGATCAGGTTTGGCTTGTGCTTGTGCTGTATGTACTCCGTACTATGCCCTCTAGCCTCGACGCTGTCCTGCACGTCAAATTCAATTTCCTGTTTTCCCCTCCTCTTGCTGGACACAAAACAAAAAGGGCTGAGTTTGTTTGTTGCTGTTCCTTGTCGAGTTCCCGGGCTTAGACTCGAGGCGGCGGGGGAGAGTGAGGCTGTGTAGATTACCTGACCTTACCTGTACCTGTGCCTAAGGTAGTAGTGCGTGCTGTGCTAGACGTCTGGTTACAAGCAGAGAACAGCTGAGAAGATGCGCGAGTTTGTTGCGTGCGGCCAGGGACAATAAGGCTGTGTCTGTCCAATCCAAGAAAAAAGATAGTCGAGAGAGGAGAAAAGACACCGCAACCTTTTTGTCGCTCAATTTTAAAAAGGGCCTCTTCTGCGGCCAATGCCCGCTCTTCAAAGGCTGGACAGCCCGGGGTAGCGCGACACGAGGATGCAGAGGCTTCCTTGTCCCGGTCAGCGAAGATGGATGGTTTGGTTTGAGTGATTTGACAAGTTTGACAGGCCGTGGGCACGGACGGGCCCTGCTCTGCTAGTGCTGGCGGTTCAGGTGATGGGCTGGACTGGCTGGTTCAATAGTTCAATAGTCTCAACAGCCGATGGAATGAAATGACCTAGAATGAGAGAGACGAAGAGGTGATCCAGGCAGTCCGGCTTCAGCCATGAACGGACTTTTGGAGATATCGACGCTGAAGTGTGCCAAGGCCACGCTCCCCCGGCGGGAAAAGGCTGCTCACAGGGCTGAGTGAGCCCGTTCTTGTCTTGTCCATAATTTTCTCGCCCGCTTCCATTTTCCTTTTTCCTTTTTTCCCGGCCTTTCTGCCTGCTGGGAACAGAATCTTACACCACTCGCATCCGAGGCTGCCAGCAGCTCTCCATCCAAAACCCACCCACAGAGCCGCAGGGCTTGCCCAGGATGGTTAAAGTCCTACCAGCGGGTGGGCGCTAGGATCCAAAGCCCCAAAATCGCCGTGGCTCGTGGGTCTGGAGGATATAATTAGAACCCATGTCATTTGATGTCCATTGTCTGGTCCTGTTTTGTTCTGTTCTGTTCGTGGTGGCGTCTGTATTAGTAGCACGACTCTGTAGGTAACATGGGGGTCATGCCTCTTCAGCTGCAACGCGCAGCAACTAGATTAAAACCTCTGTCGAACAAGGATAGGGGAAAGACGCTGATTGATCGAATCATTGAACTGAATACTAATCCGCTCACAGGCCCCTCGTATCAACATTCTGTACTGCCACCTTTGTGCCAAGCATTGCACATACTCGACCGGATCACAGCAGCTGAAAGGGATTGGATTCGATGTACTCGTAAGATGGGAGGATGATGTTGTACCAGGGCCACAGGGACAGGCAAGTACGTGGACACATCATGTAATCAAGACTCATAGCCTGTCAATTCACAGCCCAGTAGGTACCTTCAATCCAGTCCAATCATCCGGCCCGATTGAGAGGTACAGATACTCCGTCATCCCATATCCAGGCCTGTCGGTTCTGTGTCTCTGTACCAAAGACCCTGAACTAGCTGATATCATCCGCTACCACGGAGCTTGAGCTCTGCATCCTACGGAGCTGGTGCTAAGCAAAAGGGAGTTCAAGTTTGCAGATCCCCATCTGCCACTTGCTTCTTCCAACTTAACTTCAAAACTTCCAATTCCATCACATGCAGCAACGTGTCCAATCCAGTCCGGTGTTGAAGATAAGAAGACGAAAACGGACATCATCGTGCATCCGCATCTTGTCGACCGACCTCCTGCATGTCCCTGCAGAGCTCATGCACGGGAGGTATAAATAGCAACGCGAACACAGCCATCGGCATTGTATCCTCACATGCAGATGCACTTTTCCATCTGCAAATCAGAAGTGCCTCATCTCGTAAATGGATGAATGATGTGCAAGATACGAAATACGATGGAGATTTACAAAAATCAAGTATGTTAAGGTGCATGTGCATGCATACTATGGAGCAGCAATACCTATTTCATGTTGTTGAAAATCAAGATTCAGCACTCATCCGGCATCAGGTAGAAATGGTGGAGACTGCCGATGTATCGTTGCATCGAGGCAAAGCTTAACAACCCGATTCTAAAAATGAATCTGATCTGGGTCCGAATCAATTTCCTTCTTGCGCTTACCTACCTAATCTATGCATATAGTGGTGGTGCGACCTCAGGCTGCGTGGTATCACCATCTCCTAGAGTTGCACGCAGTGTCCAGGATTCCATCAACTGGAGCTCTCCATGACTGATTGCGGCAGTGCAAATGTCCTTTCTACTGCTACTCGTCAATGCAGTTTCCATACACTTTACGGTTGGCTTGCATGCTACCCTAAACTGGGATTCATTTCTCTTTTAAACTGACAACTTCAAACTGAAGCTCATCTCAAGCATCATACCTTAGGAGTAGACACCTAAAAGCTCAAGGCAAAGAAGAAGCTTCCAATCCACATTGCCACACATCATGGCTACTCAATTGACAAAGTTGACCAGCCCATGCGATGCCCAGATACTAATGCCTTGCTCTCACAATATTGTCCATTAACGGCAAAGGCGCATCACCACCAATTGCATATCCAGAGCTTCTGGTTTGCCCTCTCTGGCCGTCTTTTGCGGGGTTTCGTGGGGAATCGCGGCTCTAGCGGGGTTGTCGATAGCCGTTTACGGAGGGTTGTGAGTTTAACACTAAGGCTTGAAATTGCAATGATAAGGACATTTGAGATTATTTACTCTTCATCCGTTACTTGAATGCGTTCCTCATGGATGAACCCTCTGTCATCTGTTCACGGTAGCCAGAACGAACGAATCCAGTCATCATCATGCTGCTGCTCTCTCCCATCACCTTGTTAGCGGCAGCAACCCTGCTATTTGCCATCCACTTGATTCGACGCCTCACATCTCCATTGAGTAAAATCCCAGGACCGGCAGTGTCCAAATTCACCTCCTTGGTCCTCAAGTGGAAGGAGATCAAGGCCCTCAGGACTGTCTACATTCACCAGCTTCACCAGCAATATGGGCCCGTCGTCCGCATCGCACCCAACGAGGTGTCGTTCACGTCTTGGGAAGCCTTGAAGGAAATTTACTGCTCCGGAGGCAGCGGCTATGACAAGACGGAATTTTACGATTTGTTCAAGATCTATGGCAGGAGGTGAGGCAATGATCTTGTCTTTCAATAATGTATCTGGAATCAAAATGGCTTACTGGTGATGTTCTTCTCCAGGACCATGTTCACCACATTGAACAAGGCAGACGTATGTTTCTTGCTGATAATCTTAATGTTGATACGACTCATCTAACATGGACTAGCATGCCAAACGTAAGAGGATTCTCGCCGACCGTTATGCTAACAGCAACGTCATGAAGAGCGCTTCAGTCACGGGGGTCCAGGAACGGTCTTCCAAGTTTGTTCGACGGTGTACTTCTGCTTCAGGAGGTGTATCAGACATTTTTGTAAGTCCAGGCCATCACCAAACGCCATTGAGAGATGAAGGCTGACAAGACGTTTGCTTAGATGGGTTTGTCTCAATGGCTTTAGAAAACCTGGAGTCAGTACTGACCGTCACAGCCTTGCATGCGTATGCCTGCGATTGCATTACGCACCATCTATTCCATCCCTACGGCACCGACTGCATCACCAAGAAGGAAGACGAAGAAATGATGCACCAAGTAGCAGCAGATGACAGCCTACAGAGCAAGCTATCCCTACAATGCCTCAAGCCCAATATCTTTTCTAACAGGATTCATAGATCGCCTCATCTCACACTACGCCCCTACTTTGCATCGTCTATTCTCCAGGGTGCTCTACCTGTTTGCAAAGCCTCGAGAGACCCCCCTAGCCGACGACTATGTCCTAGAGACCAGCCAGCTCAGCGGCACGGCCTCATTCACTCTCATGAGCCGCTTCGACGAAAAGACGGGCGACCTCGACTACATTGACAAAGCAGCAGAGTGCCTCGACCACATGGCCGCAGGCATCGACACCACAGGCGACGGACTATGCTTCCTCCTGTGGGAGCTGTCGCAGCCACGCTCGCTGGGCATCCAGCGCAAACTAGCCGAGGAGCTGCGGGCGAACCCCGAGACGCCCTTTGATAAGCTGCCCTTTCTCGATGCCGTCGTCTGCGAAGGTTTGCGGTGCTTCCCGCCGATCCCAATGTCGCTGCCGCGGTACGTTCCTCAGGGCGGTCGCTCCATTGACGGGTTTTGGTTGCCTGAGAAGACGGTTGTGAGCTGCCAGGCTTATTCAGTCCATCGGCTTAACAGCGAGATATTCCCCGATGGAGATGTGTTTAATCCTGAACGCTGGCTGGAGCTTGAGGGAGATGCAGACCGAAGGCGGATCCAATTTGCTTTTTCCAATGGAGGACGGGGCTGCGTCGGGAAGCAGTAAGTCTTTCGTGCTCTCGAGAAGATAAGACTAGACAAGGGATATCATGGCTAATTGGATAATGTTTCTAGTCTGGCCCTCATCGAGATGAAGACATTGCTGCGGGATGTTTATTCCAAGTACAGCACGACGCCGCATGAGTCTATGCAGGAGGAGGCCATGGCCATGTCGGATCAGCTCATCTCGGCACGGCCATTGGGGCAAAAATGCCTTTTGCGATTCCACCCTCTTGATGTAGACGGTGAAAAAGTCAAGATGTAATACAATTAGTGAAGATGAACAATTGAAACAGATCACATGCAATGATGGTAGAAGTCGGCGACAGCTATGGCTGTGCAGTACATGTGTGTACCCTGCAGTGACCATGAATGGTAGAACCAGATTCATGACATATCGGCCAGCAGAATGCCTCTATTACACAACATCAAGCCATCACATGTCTAGATACCCAACGGCAACCACTTGCAATGCGAGGGCAATATCAGGGCACCACCGCTCGGTTGGTTGGGCGACAATGCCAGCAGAGAATGCAGAACGTAGCTGCAGTTGGCTCCGAGTTGAGCATCGATCTGCAATCCAGCAAATACCAGACAGACTCTGGCACTGTAGATGCCTCGGTACCTGTACCTGTACTCATATGTACCTAAATCTCAACGCCGAGCCATAAGTCCAAAGTCCGGCGTTGCTTGTGGCCCTGAGTTATATCTACTCGGTAAAAACATTCCATGTCAAGAATTGTATATACCTAGTAGTGGCATGATCCTGTTCCATTTGTCTCCGCTATATTCACACCCACGTAATAGCTCAAAATGTGCGTCTCGGCCGGCTCTCCGCACGAATCTAGGGCACAAGCATGATCCCATCTTGTGCTCCATCCGCCATGCCTCGTGCCATCCTGCAGCTCCGTAACATAGAGCCGTGGGGCAGCAGCCAGTCGCTGGAACTCTCTGACAGACGGCCCCCCAAAGGCTTGCATTTACTATTAGTACATGTAGTATCAAGTTACTGCATGTGAGCAACCGCCAGTCCCAGCAGCGCATTCGAGCACACGTTTATCCTCGGTGGCCCGGACATGCTCGTTATGCCGCTTCTGCCGCAGATTCTCCGAGCCAGCGAACCTAATGCACGCACTCTTGCGTCTGCACAACGCACATGTACCGGTACACGCCGTCGAGCGCTAAAGGGCCCCAGCACCAACGCGCTGAAGACGCAAGTGATGCCCTGCTGTCAGTGCTGTCAGTGCTGTCAGTGGTCCAGGCGGTCCAGTTGGTGCTGCTTTAGCGGACGGTAGCGCCCAGCCAGTTTAACGTTTCGGTACCTGTACTGTAGCGCACCGGATTTTAGCCTCCGATTCCTTCCACTAGGCTTCCTTGGTCCTTCTCCAGCCCGTGATTCACCACAGCAAAAAAAAGGAAAAAGAAAAAAAAAAAAAACCTAAGAAAAATAATAATCCGCTTTGCTGACAACTCTGCCCCCACTTGGAATCTCTGCCTGATTCAAAATCCCAGCAGCCTCTTGACATTTCTTCTTCTTCTTCCCTTTTCCCCTCATCACAACTCGTCGTCTCTCTAGAGATTGCATCTGTCAGATTCCCCGAGCATCTTGTCTCGCCCGCTATCCAGCCATCTGCCAGGCCTGCTGACTGTCTTGCCGGTCGCAGCGCACTTTTCCTCCCCAGTCTTTATTTTCTCTCCTCGCCTCCACAGCTACGAGCACACAAAAAAATATCAAAAGTCGAACAGACAAGAGAATCCCATTCTTCGTCTTTTCTGCTCTTCTGGCCAATCTCCTAGATTGTCTGTCTACCAGCATTCTGCCCACTTAGCAGCTCCTTGCCGGTACATTGTTGTTTATGTATCAGCACGATTCCGCCTCCGTATCCAGACGTTTCTTCACGCTGCAGTTATTTCGCATACCGCGGAAACCTAGCAGTCCCGATATTAGATCTGACGGTTGATATTCCCCTCGATTTCCGATCCGAGTTCATGCCTGTCCCACTGCAATCGCGAATCTGTCCGGTCCGCCCTATGTCCAGTACGCATAACTGTTGAGTTGTTCAGCTTCCCTTTGGTCCTCGACACGCCCGCTCTATCCGGCGCCAATATACCGTCTCGAGCCTCTTGATGCATATACCTCCGCCCCAGGCATAATCCCAGCCCTCGTCCATTCAATCCCCACAGACAAACCTCAAGCATCCCACTTTGCCACCCTTTAACAACCGTCACCATGGCTCTCGTCAACGTTCGTCGCGATGTCAGCGATGCCTTCTACCGCTACAAGATGGAGCGCCTTCAGACCAAGATTGAAGGCAAGGGTAACGGTATCAAGACCGTTGTCGTCAACTTGTCTAGCGTCGCCCAGTCTCTTGCCCGCCCAGGCTCTTATGTCATCAAGTACTTTGGTTTCGAGCTGGGAGCTCAGACCAACATCGACCCCAAGGACGACCGTTGGATCATCAACGGCGCCCACGATGCCGCAAAGCTGCAGGACCACCTCGATGGCTTCATCAACAAGTTTGTTCTCTGCAAAAAGTGCAAGAACCCTGAGACCGACGTCGTCATCAAAGACGATCACATCGTGCTCGACTGCAAGGCCTGTGGTCAACGCACCGACGTTGATCTCCGCCTGAAGCTTAGTGGATTCATCCTCAAGAACCAGCCCAAGAAGGGAAAGAAGGACAAGGCTGAGCGCCGTGCCGCCAAGAAGGCAAAGCAGAACGGCCATGCCAAGGAGAACGGCCAGGGCAGTGGCGAAGATGGCTCCGAGAATGGCTCCAACGAGGCCGCCGAGAACGGCGACGTCAGCGATGACGAGTTCCAAAAGGTGCAGGCCGAGGCAATCACTGCCGCTACCAGCGCCGAAGTCGAGGTTAAGGACGACGAATGGGCTGTCGACATGAGCGCCGAGGCCGTCAAGGCCCGCCAGGCACAGCTCCCCGGCGAGCTCAAGCAGAAGCTCAACATTGGCGACGACGAGGATGAGGACGGCGAGGGCGGTGGCAACACCGTCTACGACGAACTCGGCAACTGGATTGCCGAGCAGGCTGAAGAGAAGGGCGGCATTGACAAGGTCGATTCCATCAACATCTATGTCAAGGCCAAGGAGCTTGGTATCGAGGCCAAGCACCGAACTGTCCTGGTTCTGGTGCAGACCGTCTTTGACAAGAACATTGTGGCCCAGATTCCCAAGCGCGCCAGCATGCTCAAGCAGGTGAGTTTTACACACACACACAGCATTTTGTTTTTACTCTCTTCTAGTTACCCAATACAGTTTACTAATAACGCCTCTTTTTCTAGTTTGTCACTTCTGAGAAGCATGAAAAGGCCCTGCTTGGTGGTACCGAGCGCCTGATTGGCGGCCTCAGCAAAGAGAACCCTGATGTGCTCCAGCAGGTCGTCAAGATCCTGCAGCTGTACTACCACCACGACCTCATCACCGAGGAGGTCGTCGTCCCCTGGGGCTCCAAGGCCAGCAAGAAGTACGTCGACGTCTCTACCTCTCGCAAGGTCCGCAAGGCTGCCGAGCCCTTTATCAAGTGGCTCCAGGAGGCTTCTGAGGAGGAATCCTCGGAAGAGGACGAGTAAAATCGCCCTCCTTTTGACTTGGTAGACACGTCTCGTGTTTATCCTACACCATCACCTACTAGATTGAAACTTGTGATGTGGCAGGACAAAGAGGCCTCAAAAGCTGCCAAGGAAATGGCACAGAGAAATAGGGATTAATCTTATCAAAGACTCTGTTGCCTCATGATTTATATTTGTATCGGGCTTGTGTAACCACCGGACATTGTGTATTTAGCTAGATTGTTTATTAATCGCAAAGTGCCCAATTCCACTCTTAACACAAGAACTCTCGTGCCTTTGTGTTGTCCGTCTTATATGATGAAAATCTTATGTATCCCAATTTGACGCCCTTGGGTATTAGACCCGCTCTGTAGCATTTGAACATACAGCCATTTAACGCAAAAAAAGAAGAAGCTCCCTTTTAAATCCTAATCCCGCCCATCATCGTACATGTGTCCATTGTGTATACCCTTTCTCCCCTACGCCTCTTCTTCGCCATTTGCAGATGGGGCATCGGCCATGTTCGCATCGCCGTTGGTCTCTGCATCGGCTTCTCCCTTGAAAATGAACTCGCTGATGCTAGCAGCAGTCTTTTCGGCATCGCCCTCATCTACAATGACAGTGTCGAAAAGGTCCTTGGTCTTTTCTTCATCAATGTCCGAGGGGGAAGATTTGATGAAGATGTATCGCGCTGAAAAGTCCATGTCTTTGGCGAATTGCGCGGCCTAATTTAGAAAACAAAAGAGTTAGCGATATGTTGTGAAACATGAGAAAAGGGAAAAAAAGAATAGGGGAGATGTATGTGTACATACCTCGAGATCAAGCTCAACGATGGGAACTTTGCCCGTGTCTACGACGGCGTCCACGGCCTTTGTGCTGGTGCCATAGTCTACGCCGTCACGAGTGCCATACTCGATGAGCCTATCGCCGTCTCGGAGCTGATTGAACTCTTGGGCTTTGACGAAATGGAATGTCTTGCCGTTAACTTCGTCCTCGGCGGGCTCACGGACAGCATGTCGCACAACAGGAGCAAAGACGCCCTTGTGTTCGCTCATGAGCTTCTCTCTTAGGGCTGATGTTGCGACGCCAGAGGATGCAGATAGGATGATCGGGTCGCGATTGCTGGGCATGTCTTCCTCGCTCGCCGTCGGCTCAGCATCTTCCTCGTCCTCGTCTCCTTCGACGTCGTCTTCGAAAATGATGTCAATCTTCTTGGGGTCGTCGATTTTGTCAAAAGACGCCAGCTTGAACCGTGACGCTATCCGAAGTGCTCTCCAGCTCTTGCTCGCCTTGCCCGCAACAGCCGCGGCCTTGGTCTCGTTATTGGTCGGCATATCAATCTCAAAGTCATCATCCGCGATTTTGCTCTTGAATCCATCAAGCTCAGGCAACTGATAGCGTTCCGCAGACTTAAGTTCCTCCATAGCCGAGCCTTCGTCTTCATTTGCCAAAAAGTCAAGGGGCACGGCATTCAACGGGTTTGGCCTCAGGCGCTTGTTCGTCGCCATCTTCTGCGCAGCATCCTTTGACTCGACGAAGCTCGCGGCTGACACCGGGTCGCGCTGGATGGGCGGACAACTGGCCATCTTCCAAAAGACCCAGTTCTTGTCCCTAGCCAGCACTGTTTCTACCATGCGAAAAAAGTATGGCCCGTCACTTCCTTGCTTGAGATAATCTGATATTACCTTTTTCATGTCGGTAGCCCACTTTGTCTAGAAGAAAGATGAGCATACGAGCAGGGGAGTTTTCATTGGATGAAGTTCTTACATTCTCCTCGTTGAGTTGGTCTGGATAAATGACCGACTTGTTGGATACATTGATATTGGTTCGCTTCTCCCTTTCTTCCTTTGATAGCGATAGGAGAAAGTCTGTGATGATAAGAGCCTGAACGAGAACGTGTCGTCGAAAGGAGAGGTCGCTGATCTGTATGTGGCCTACTGTTAGATATTGTCAAGTAGATGCATATGTAATACCGCGATACTTGCCTCAAGCTGGAACAAGTCCTTGCTGGTAAGATACTTGGGATTAAACGCCTCCGGAAGTGTCTCGGTTCCGTCGTCGTCCCTCTTCCGCTTCAATGTCCGCTTAAGATTCTCCATCGACTTTGAGGAATATATGCTGTCTTCATGGATAGCCTGGAATGCACTGATTGTGGATTCCAAGCTGCTCTTGAATTTCGTAAAATGGCCAGCATCGAACAGTCTCAAGGGTTGGCTGAAGCTCTCTTGTAAAGACCAAAACAAAGGGTAGAGTGTGTCGGGATCGAGGGCTTTGCTTGAATCCTGTGCGCCATTCTTTGCGCCGGTCTTGACGTCGCCTTGCTCCTTTGGAGTATCATTGGTATCGACTTCCATTTTACTGTCGTCATCTTCTGCTGTTTCAAACACTGTCACGTTCTCAACGTGGTATTCTCCTCGAAGGTTGACAGAGCTCCTGTCTCCCAGAGGGAAACTCTGAAACATAAAGATGAATACTCTTCCACAGAAAGCCGTATCCTCAGCGCGTGAGAGTCTCCGCAACAACTCATTGCAGCTTCGGAGAATAACAAGATTCTTCTGCTTGAAATGCTTGGCCGTAATGCGCTCTCGTCTTGACTCGAGATAGTCGAATATTTTGCGACATCCCGCAATCGTCTGGCTGTCGAGGAGCTCTTCCACAAGCCAGAACAGCAGCGCGGGGTCGCATTGGCCATCATCGGAGAGTATTGAAAGAATATCCAGCAGGTTCCACATCTTCACAAACTCTGGGCTATCAATTGAAGTTGTCGCCTTCATGGATTAGTGTTGGACGTCTGGGGCGGGCAAAAGGTTGCTCTCGGCTTACGATTAATTTGCTGAAGAAATCGCGAGCCGCTGTTTCTACAAGGGCAAACTGCCGTGATCTGAGAGTGTCTGGAGGCGCATTGTTCTCTGTGCTGCCCGCGCTCTTGGGGCGGGTGAGCGAAGAAGAAACTCGGTCGTGGATGTTGGCAAAGTCGGATTTCGCGAGAGCAGGCTCGATGGTTGTCGTTTGCTTTGCCGCTGAGGCTTCGTCTAGAAGCTCTGTGAGGAGCCGACCGAATGCGCCCACGGCTTCGACGCCTGGGTTCTCTATATCGAGAGCCGGCATGATGAAAGCAGCCGCGCAAAAGGCACAAGGTGGCCGTCAAGCTAGGTCGGAGCTCGACACGGATGGCTCGATTGCCCAGCGGAGATATTTTGAACGCAGCGAAACCGAAATTAATCGAGATGACGGATCATGAATCAGAAGTAAATGAAATCGGCAGGGGCGATATTAGGGGGGCAGAGCGCGTTGCCCAGCAAACGAAACGCTATAGAGCAGAAATGATGATAAGAGAAAGTCGTCGCGAATGGCTCCAGGATAAGATGCGAGACGGGAAGGCTGAAGACCGCTGATGGCCCCCGTAGTTCCAGGCCACTGCAGGTACAAGCAACTGCCGCAGTAGCTGCGCCGGCAAACAGGTACTAGCCGCGAAAAGATACCTGTGCCGCTACTGCTCAGCGGACCCGCAGTGCGCAAGGCTGAAATTTTATGCACAGGGACCAGTAATTCCGTCTGCCAGGCGTGGACTCTCAACTTGGCTGCGCTTTGTATGACCTCGCCGTCCCGTCTCAAGCTTCACCAAAGCTCAAGCTCAAGGCACGAGCTTGTCCTGCAAACGCCGGTTGATCCATCGAGTCTTTTCCAGCCCATGACGCGACACCCTCGCAATGCCTAACGCGAAGCGATCCAAAAGCTCTGGCGGGCGAGCTGCGGCCACACGCGAGCCGCCAAAAGATACGACAGACGGCCGCCCAACGCCAGCAGAGGTGGAGGAGCAGGAGCATCGCTTTGTGCAGGTTGCACGGCAGCATTGGCTGAAGCCCGGCAAGAAGACGGCAAAGGTCAAGGTCAAGAACGACGTCATCAAGCAGGGCATTTGGGACGTTTTGGAGCAGGATGGCTTCTCGTATAAGCTGTTGCTGCTGTTGGAGAGTCTGCAGACGCTGGAGAGGTATGTCTGCCTTCAAATTGTTCGAGTCTTGGTGTGGAAAACAAGTTCTAACGCGGTGGAACAGCTATCTGTGGCCCGGGTATTCTGAGCAAGCGTCCAACTACCACGTCCTGATACTGGCGTTGATATGCAACGTCAAGAGACGGGAGCACCTCGAAACATGGAGTAAGTTTGGCAGCATTGGTTCCTCTTGAGCTGTATTCGACAAGAGGCTTACGGTCAAATATAGAAATCTTTGAAGAGAGGTCCGACGACTTCTCGTCCCTCTTCCGCCGCATCCTATCCATGACCCTCGACAGAACATTGTCGACGACGTTGCGAACACACCTCCTCTGCTTTCTCATCCACGCCTTCCAGAGTCTAGACTGTACCATTGTCAGGAAAGAATGCGCTCCTTTGGTGTCGATTGGCATCTGGCATAACCTGTCCACCGAGAAGCGTCAAGAGGCCCAGCTTGACTCTTCGCCCCATCTCAGAAAGGCTTGGAGAGCTGCTCAGAAGCGATATGACGCTGCAGACGAAGCTACCAAGGCACGGCTGAGGTTTGAGCGTTCATGGCTCTACACCCTCATCCTTGATTTTATCAATCAACTATACAGCGAAAGCAGCAAATCAGGTACGTCAATGGGCAGGTGAAGTACTCGTCTACCAATGTTCGCCAAGCTAATATCTTTCTATAGACCAGACACTTCTCTACTGCGAACGATTTACCGAGTTCGTATCTGACTTGCAAAGCCAATTGCCAACGCGGCGTTACGTCAATGCCTTGGTCCAAGATTTACATCTTACTCCTCTGATGAGACTGTCTCCGCTATACAACGACGCCGGCAGCGCTCTGCTACGTGACCTCCATGCACTGCTCTCTCACTACACATTCTTCGCCATTGATGACCAGAGCGGCATCCAACTCACCCGAACAGAGGCTTTTGACCGGCATTGCACATTGCTGGGCAAGCTTCAACGGGTTGCTCTCAAGCATTTCAAGGACAAACTCACCATCTTGGCCTTGTCAAACTATGGGTCAATTGACAAGCGAGAAGAACTGATATCACATTTTGATCCCCTCACCGATGATGAGCTGCTCGACTTGGTGAATCTCTTGGATCTCAGGTCTGCATATCCCGAAAGCCTCAACTTGACCATTAACCGCGAATTCCTCATCGAATTCCTCCTTACTACCTTTGAACGGAAGAAGACCTTCCAGGAGACTGCCCGGAGAATAAGCATAGTCCCCACTGAAGA